GAACCAATCAATTCCGTAATGAAATGTAAATTTGCTTGTTTGCAGATGAAAAAAACAAAAATGTATAAAATGAGTAATATAAAATATCAAGAAACCAAATGTTACACGTATGAAATTTGATAATATAAATGAGGAAAAACTAAAGAATTTACATTAATATAAAAATCTAATTTAAAGCTTACTTATTATTACAAAATCTAATTTTAGTTATTATAATATAATAAATAAAATAAATGGAAATGGAAATAAAAAAAGGTAGTACAATTTAATAAATCTAATTTTGCTAACTTCCTAACCTATTGGAACTCAATACTTTAGATAGCTCTTCTTTAGTCATTTGAAGTTGTCAGCTGAGCTGGCTACTTGATCGAAGAATCTGTATGTGGGAGAATCTGAAGAGACTTGGCAGCTGGTTAGATGCTAATTAAAATATAGTAGGGAAATCTCTGGAAGGAAAGATGCATTCTTTCTGGGCTTATCAGTAAATATCGAGAGAGAAGGAGGCACTTGTGAGCGATGGGACATATAACATTATTATCTGATCATTACAAGAAATTTTACACAGAAAAAGAAATGCCAAATGGGCACAAATGTATGGAAACCCCTGCCAGATATTTTTGTTAGATAAAGCTACTCTAACTAGAATATTAATGGGGTAGTTTCTTTATATATCAAATCACTTAATTATATATGAAGTCAATAAGTTTTACAATAGATTTAATTGATTATTATTATTATTATTATTATTTAAATTGCAGGTGTCCCATAATTTATTGGACTGATTCAAGCGCATCAGATTTATAAAGAAAAGCGCTTTCAGTGAGATTTTCTCCACTACATCCATAAGAGATGAAATATTCAATCATTTACTTAAAAGAAACTTAAATTCTTTCAATTCAAACCAATCCGGATTTGTATTCTAAAAGAATATTTTCATATTCAAAATTTGTATCTTTGAAAATTATGTTTTGGGTAACATCAAAATCAAGCCTAATCAATAAAATAAGAAACAAAATCACGTTGTGAATAAAATTCAATCCACTAACGGTATTTATTTAAGCATTGAAAAGTATTCTAAAGTCGCATATAAACATTGGTTAAATAATAATAATAAAATTGTGTAGCTCTTTATTAGCAAATTGTGTAGCTCAAGTCAATTAATGAGTTCGGACAAATAGAGAAAAGTAAGTTGCATTTCCATCTTGTGTTCATATATGAAAGCAACGTGTAACGTCTCCATGTAGAAAACATGGCAAAACCTAAGCGTTATAATCATTTATTTCTAATAGAACATGACTATATATTACACTTGTATATATAAAATTTGAACACCATTTTCTACAGATGATACCTAATCAACAGTGTTTTGATTAAAAGGGCAAATACCCTCCATCGCTATATATAAAGATTAGGATTCAATATGCTAAAAAATACTCATTTTCTGAAAAATAAAAGTTTAATCCGTATAAAAATAATATTATATATATAAAAGGATAATCGCGAATTTAAAAATAAAATTAATCTCGTATTTGAAAAAGAATATGATGATATTCGTGAATAATTATAGTGAAGCTTATCTAGCATGATCAAATCTTGATGGTGAGAAAATTTATCCTTAATTATGTAAATAAAAAAAAAAAAATTGAGACATAACGAAGAAACAGTCAATTATTAATTAATTTTCTAGTACGAATAGATGCAATAATGGAATTCAAATTTGTCGTGATTAGGGTTGGTGATGGTAGTAGTGATAGAATTGTCTCTTCTTCTGTTTTTTTAACTACTTATAATTGTCCCAAAACAACAGGACAATTGTTTATATGTATGACAAGTTCACTTGTTAGATTATGTTCATTCTTGCAATTTGCAAATATATTATAAAAGAATCCGATCGATCGCTATTCTTACTTCAAACCCTACTTCTTTGACTTGCCTGCATTTTGTTCTTACTAAAGAGATTCAACAACCCAATACTTGCTACATAAATATAATTATAGTAGCTTTTTTACTATTCATAGAAAGAAAATGTCCAACATGCATGACCAATTACAATCTATCAAACATATATATATATATATATATATATTCTAAACTCATGCTTTTTACCGACCAAAAAAATTTATAAATTTATCAATCATATGCGATTTAGTTGGTTTTTACTCACTTACACAAGGCGTGATGACAAATCTCGAATTCGAATCTATTAAACTGTAAGAACAAATTTTGTGAATTAAGGAGATGACTGCTATGTTTGTGTAACTCGAGGTATTATTAGTCTCTTGATGAATAAAAAAAAGAAAAAAATTATAAATTTAATACAACTTGTTTAAAATATATATATTTTTTAATTACAAGATGAAAAAAAAGAAAATTGAAAATTGAAATTTAAGATGAAATTATAATTACAAGGTGAAAGAAATTAATTTTCTTTAATTCCTCGTTCCATGACACATTAGGGTACTATATTTAGAAGTGATTATAATAAAAATTTAAAATTATCTGAAAGTAACTAAAATTCTTTTTTAGTGTGCACTAGAATTATTCTTATCATCATAAAAAATAGTCTGAGAACTAAGAATTACAATCAAATATTGAAGCGGGACGTCTCTCAAATATATTTTCTCCAAACACAAGGCCCTATATCAAATCCACGGTTGGGCCAACTTATATTGGTATAGGGTACCTTTTTTAAAGGTAATTCTATTTCAATTTGGAATTGTAAGATGAAATTAAATTGTAATTTATTATAAGATGTAACTATAAGTTCCTATAAGTGCAATATTAAAATTAAAATTAAAATTCGTTTTTCCATGTCACTAGTCTCTATTTGTGACCTTATTTATTATTAATATGTATAAAATAATATATGAATTAAATTTCAATTATGCACTATTTTATTGACGTTTGACATCATGATACGAGGATAGTCAACTCCTTCAATGTCAACATTAACTGCATTTGGTGAATTTGATCATATCAACGTGATATTTATAAACAAGGTTCATGATAAAACATAAAAATATAATAAATATAAAAACTTATGAAAATACAAAAAAAAAACAAAAAAGGAGATTATATGTCTTCAGACAGATAATAGAAAAAAAATAATAAAAAAGGAAAAAAATAATTTGATCACTGAATTATACTCAAATTAACACATAAAAATCAATTTTTTAACAATTAATTATGAGGTTCCTAAATTATGATTTTATTAATATTTGATCCATCTATTCAAAACAAATGGATTAAAATATTAATCGAAATCATAAGTTAGGGACCTCTTAGTTAGTTTGATTATAATTTTTAGTGATTAATTTCTCAGTTAATTTGCATTCAAAAAAAGTTATTTTTAGTGGAAAAACTTAACGTATTAACAGAATCATAAGTTAAGAATTTCTCACAATATATTTTTAGAAATAAAGGTTCTCATGCGTTAATTTAACTTTTTTTTTTTCCCAAAAAAAAGAATGTTAAATGAATTAGTTGAATTTTAGATGTTTACTAGTAACTGATTTACCTAATCAAGTTCTTTCGAGCCGGTTAACTCAGAATTGGAATAGAAATTAGTCTTTTCGATTTTGGATAATTTTAAGCCGGTTAGTTTTAACCAAACCGAGTCAGAAAACAATTTAATTAGCTGTTTCAATCAATTTCAGTTATAAAATTATTAGAAAATAGGAATTTTCGAAAACTGAGGCCGTCCTCTTATTATGATCCGATTCCAAATTAGAATCAAAGCGAACCAAACTGGAAGGATGTACAAACTAATCAAATTTATAAACAAAAAATTTGATTCGATTGACACTTTGAGAACGATTTAAGAAATATTCATTATTATATATAATTAGAAAATAAGGAAATTTTCGAAATACTTGAGGCCGTCCATCTTATTATGAATCCGATTCCCAAATTAGAAATCAAAGCGAACCACAACTGCGGAGGAGGAAATGTACAAACTAATCAAATTTATAAAACAAAAAATTTGACTTCGATCGACACTTTGAGAACGATTTAAGAAATAATTCATTATTATATAAAATATTATCATATTATTAATAATATATTACTAATAATTTTTTAAGTCAAAAATTAGTATATTTTAAAATAAATACAAGATTATAAAATAAAAAATAATTTCGGCTACTGTAATTATATATATACAGAAAAAAATATATTAATTATAATATTTTTGTTCAAGTTCTGCTTTGAACATATAGTTTTACTTCAAAATTATAAGGATCAAACTAAATCTTCCCTAGGCTTTTTATTTTTGTAAATCAAAAACCTGAAAGTCAAAATCATTAATTAAATTATCAAAATCATGATTCTAAAATGTTTTTGCTGTTTGTACAAACAATCAAGATAAAGATCATAATATTGAATTGGTATATAATAGTATTCATTTTTCATTAAAATAATTATTTTAAAAAAATTTCTTGATAACCAGTATCAGACTTCCCTAAATTTACCACCTGGAGCATTTTTAGTCAAAAATTAGTATATTTAAAATAATACAAGACTTATTAAAAATAAAAAATAATTCGGCTACTGTAATTATATATATAAGAAAAAAAATATATATTATAAATATTTTTGTTCAATTCTGCTTGAATAAGTTTTACTTCAAAAATTATAGATCAAACTAATCTTCCTGCTTTTTATTTTTTAAATCAAACTGAAGTCAAATCATTAATAATTCAAAATCATGATTCTAAAATGTTTTGTGCTGTTTGTCAACATCAAAATAAGATCATAATTGATTGGTATAAATATATTTATTTTTCATTAAAATAATTATTTTAAAAAATTTTGAACAGTATCAGACTTCCTAATTACCACCTGGAGCCTGGTCTCAAAACGGGCCTGCGAATTCGGCCTGGTTAATATTCAGTTAGTGGCCCAAATATAAAAATGAATGTTTTAGGGTTTTTTTTTTTTTTTAAATTAATATATTTATTTAGCGGTAATTATAATTCAATTTTAAAAAGATTGGAAAAATGAAATTTTCCAAATAGGGGTTTGCAATTTGCAGTAAAACCCTACTTACAGCTTCCATCTGGGAGGGAGAATATAAAAAAAATTCGTCTTCTCTCCTGAGTGCGCACCATTTATAGATAGTTGTTGAAACACTCAAGGAAACAATGGCCGAAGAGAACCATGTGGCAGAATCGTTAAATCGACCCTTTAGAAAGAGAAGATTAGGGCACAAGAAAGGCAACAAGGCAAAGAAGAAGCAAAAACAACAGTTTCAGGGTTTTAAAGAGAGAATCAAAATAGACCCTAAAATGAAGAAATTTCTTCGAAGGAAGGCACGTGATTACAATTCTGATTCTGATGAAGATGAAGCTGAAGATGAAGAAGAGGAAGAGGAAGAGGAGAATAACCATGGTATTGAAGGTGAAAAGGCAGGTCCTTTGACAGATGATGAAGATGAGAATTTGGGTGTTGATGAAGCGTCTGAAAATGAAGAAGATGAAGAAGAAGATGGTGGAATTCAGCCTGGAATTACAAAATTCAGTGAGGGTTGTAGAGCATTTAGGATTGCTTTTAGGAGTATTATGAAGAAAAGTGTATCTGATGATTCACTGGTGAGCTAGCTACATTGAATTTGGAGTCTTTTTCTGTTTTCCTTTTGAAGAGATGCGCAATTTCGAAATTCTATTGGATTTGTAGGGACCTGTTTTATCAGGGCACAAGAAGCTTGTAGCAGAAAAGCTTGCTGAGGAGGAAGCAGAAAGGAAGGTCAAGGGAGAGGCCAGGAAGGAGAAACTGCTGGTATTTGAAATTCCACTTTATTTTTTATTTTAATTTTCATAATGTTGCTTGTTTGCAATTTGAAGTTTCCTTTATTTTCTTTTTGGATAAAGTTTATAAATTCTGTCATTTGTTTGATGTTTTCCTTGTTTATATTTCTGTTGTCATTATATGTAAGCTGTTAGCCTGTTACTTATTCCTTTGATATATTATAGGTGGGGGAGAAGGGGCATGTAAAGCCTGTTAATTATTTAGACTCGCACGAAAAGTTTCTTATAGGTGTTGCTACAAAAGGAGGTAACACATTCTGTTTGATATATGGCAATAGTACCTGTATTTTGTTTTTCAACTTTTTATTAGTTTTTTCTCCTACTGACATAGATCATTTTTGCTGTTCATATTCCTGGTATATCAGTGGTCAAGTTATTTAATGCTGTAAGTTAATTTTCTAAATTTTTTTATTGTGTTCTGTTCCTTTCAGAATCCATACTTCTTCAAGGTTCTCTTTATGTTTTTATCTCTTCCTTCCATGGTTAGCCTGAAGTTTTTTTGTTGTTATCTTATATAGGTTAATAAGGCACAACATGCACAAAAGGGATTGGATCCTTCAAGAACAAAAGATGCAAAAGGTATGCTCATCAACATGGCAGCTAGAATTTGGGTCCTCTTATTCTTGGGTTTTGGATATAGAGAATTTCATGAGATTGAAAATGATGCATATTTTGTTCTAGTCACTATGATGTGGCTTTTTTTTCCATATTCCTAAATGTGATTACTACTTCTCTGTAATCCTTTATGACCAAGTCGCATAACCTACTGCTAATACTTTGGTTTGTTTGTTATACTTTTACAGTTGTACCTCATTCAAAAGCCATTGTGTTTTTGCTTTTTAGAGATTTAGAATTGCAGCTTTTCTCAAGGGCGTGTAATTCTTTTTACCATGATATTTGAGAAGCTTTGGCCTTGTCCTCCTTAGGTCAACCACATGTTAACACTTAAAGTGGGGAGGCTCTGAATCCAGTTTGTGCTGTTGAGGTCTAACAAAGATCATGCTTATTGTTTTCATAAGAATAAAGAAGTAACTGTATCTTATTGCCATCGTAGGGCCAAACTCAATAAATACATTTTTATTTTGTGAGAATCACTTGTACGATCCTGGAAATTTTGAGTTCAGATATAAATTTGCTCGTCTATTGTTACTGGATGATTGCTATATCATGTGAGTGCCTTTCCGCGCCATTGCTTTTAGCCTCTTCAATTCTAACTAAATGTTATCCAAATCTTGACAGTGCTAAAGAAGCGAAGGAAAGCGGCCTTCTTTTCTGAGTTAGGCAAGACACCAGTGTCCGAAACTACTGTTAAGGTACCTCTCTAGTTTCTTGGTTCAGCATCGGCTGTCACTAGAGGAGCTATTTTTGTGCTCATAGATTTCACTGGTTCTGCCATATTTATCTTATTTATCTAAATGTAAGTTCTTAGTGTTAAAATATCATGCTCAGTTTCCCTACTAATTATTTGTTTCTGGATAAGATGAGTATATTTGCCAGTGGTAACTTTGGTGACCATTTATCAGCACATAAGACTGCACAATTGGAGATTTAACTTCGAGTTGTAGCTCGAGCATGTCTGATTGCTCAAATGTTTCCCACAGATATTTATGATTTCTCTGGAAAATGCAGGTTGATGGTGAAGGGCCATCATGGGCTCCATTGCGCGACAACTACATGTTAACAAATTCCAAGTTGAAGGACTGGGATAAGTTGCAGGTAAGATGCTATTATTCTCGCCAACCTCTTTGATGAAAAATGTGCAAATCACAACTCCTCATCTATTGTTTCTGCAAAAATCTCTCTCTGTCTCTCTCTAAAATACACACACACACACACACAGCAGATGTTGCTTGGGCACATATGCACACACTGGTTTTCTTCTTCTTATTGAGAAAGGTCTTTAATATGATGCAGGACGCTGTTGTAGCGGATGATATTGGAAAGATGTCTGAAGATAGTGGTTCTGATGTTGATTGATATTATTGAACACTGGAATCATGATACTATTGTTGGGAAAACTCACTTCGACTCAGGAGAATCAATATGATGATATAACTAGTGCACAGGAAAGGCCTTTCTTTTTTCCGTTTCTTTCCTATGTTGTGAGTGGATGGATTATCTGAATGCTTTAAGCTAAATGGTATTTTTATTTTATTTTATTTTTTCATTTGTTTTCATTTCTCCTATTCAATATTCATATCAACTTTCATGGATTATCAGCCACCAAAACAAACATGTGCCAATCCACAACATAACAGTTCATATGAATTATTGGCTCAAACACGGTATGAATCCAAATGGTCATGGAGTTCTTTTAGCTTTGCTTTGAAAGCAGCTAGCTTGAAGTTGGGAAACTTATACATTTTATATGTAAATCTAGTGTAGAAAGATTTTGATCTCCTACCTTAAAAATGTGCGAGGACTCTTAACCCAATAGAGAAGTTTGATTGTAGTTGGGTTGCATTTAATAGTTATTGGGCTCCTTTGATATAAATACAAACCGCGCAATGTGGAGATACGTAAAAAAGTACAATCAATCACGAGGGATGGAAATTTTTTTAATGCTATTTGTATTTAAATTGGTAATTATATTCGGATTCAAATATTTAATTTATAATTGGATTTGGATGTGAATTTAAATGAGTACCCGACCTCCTACCATTCAATCCTCTCTCGACTATTTGTGATCTCTCTGTTTCTCTTATTTTCTCCTCTACCAAACACAATTCTCGTCAGAATTCTCAGGTTAAGATCTGAATGTCTCTGAATCCTAACAAACAACTAGTCCAAGCTACTGTGACAATTAAGGGTCTGCCATTTTAAAATCCTCTTTCTATCAAAAAATTTCATTAACCTAAAATGAAGGGTATGATATCGCATGATAGCTCAGCGCTTATATATATATATATATATCCCTAAATTATAATGCACTGTTGGATCCGTGAAATGGTAATCAAGTGGGGAATTATAGTCATGTGATATGCTTGCAGCTGTACTCGATAAGGTTCTCACTTTCTGACTAATCATTTTCCATTGAAAAGAAAATCCTTTTCCTTTGTTTGGTACAAAGAGAAAAGAGAGAAATGACAGATGACAAACGCAAAAGTAATACCAATTGGAGGATTCAAACATATCAACATGAAAAGTGCACTCTTTAACACTTTTCTACTAATGGATAATGGACCAATAGCATATCAAATAAAACATTTACTTCTGTCTTAAAGTAAAATAAAAGTAATGTCTTGTGTTTAACACTTGAAAACTACCCCATCACCAGAATACGTATAATCATCTTTTGCTATGTGTCCACCAAAAAGAAAGGGCAAAAATATTGCAACTGCAAGCTTTTCTTTCCTTTTTCTTTTTCTCAGATTTTATAACTGTAACTGTTTGAGCCAGACATACCCTCAACTAAAATTATATACTTCTAACTATACATATCCAACGGAAAAGAAAGTGAGAAAAAAAAAAATTACAAGTGCAAGATTGTTTTGTCAATCAAGCAACAAAGAGTTCAGTGACCCACCATGCTGGGGGAGCCGCTTTTATGGAAGTCACCAGAGCAAGAAGCTAGGAGATTAATAATCCACATAATCGGCATTGAGCATTTCTATAGCTGCACAATTAAATATTTCCCTTTCCATAGAGAACTGAATGGAAGTTGTTCGAGGAAGCAGAAAGGAAATCAAAATTCATAGTTTTTAGGCAAGGCAATCGATTTATGTTGACCTTGTTGGATAACGTCGAACAAAACGTGTATCTTTGTCTCTGTGGTGATTGAAACTTGTGCGTCCAAACTTTATTGGTGAAGCACGAGAAACCAGCTCTTTCACATCCACCTTTTTTTTTCCTCCTGTGATACAATTATATATATCTTGTCATTGCACAAAGGAAAATCACGCATTAATTCAGCCAGCGGTTTATGTAATAATAATTGATTCTCTTGATCTAAACCTCGATTTCTTTCGTTTTTCTATATTCAGTTCTCTCTAAAAGCATGCATAAAAATTGTACTCTCAGTAGCTTCTGGTTTGGCTCAGTGGGTCATAATCATAAGCATCACCAGCTTTGACAAATCTCCCTTTCACACGTCTTCTCACGTCAGCTCTTGCTTTGCGTGAGGCATACCTCACTCGCTTCTCGAACCTATAACAAAAATTAGCCATGGCTTTAAACTTTAAAGTTGCTCGAGTGGCAGAAAAATATCCACAAATATGAATGAATTTCAAGTATGCAATAATTTCTAGCTATAGTTTCTGGGTTATTGGGGAAAATCTTTATGCAGAATATTGTTCATTGAAAAGGTAGACCTAAAGACAAGTATTCTACGTTACTATATGTCCTCTATAATTTCTCCTTCAAGTACATTTGCAGCTACATCATCAACTAAAATAATCAGTCTGAAGCTCAAACATGTGAAAAACAACCCCAAACAAAAAGTAAGAGATCATATTTATGCATGAATTAGGGCTACAATCAGTTATGTCCCCCTGAAATTTAACCTTTGTATCACTATGAGCCTTTCAGTTTATCTTGTAACTCATATATCACAAACCTTTCCTAACCATTCCAGTTAAAATCACTACATCAGTACAGAAGCCTATTTTTTTGTCCATCTCATCCACCAGACTTTCCCTCTTCCCTCAGTCTCATGTGACTCGCTCTCTCTCTCTCTCTCTCTATCACACTCACACACACGCCCCCCACTGTGAACTCTGAAAATAGCAGTACCCATACCACTGCCATCCAAAATTTACTCAACTCTTTCCAAACCACTATTTCCTAGTCAATTGCTCTAATGAGTAGTGTTTATTTTATGGGTTCTGTGATCTGGGTTTCACTTTATTAATAACTAATTGTGCTTTTTTTGTAAAGCCGTAAAGATTGTTCTTATTGAACCCTCACAAGCAATGAAAGTGAGATTAAAAGGCAAAACTTGTAATTTTCAAGTTTATTGTTTTTTTTCCCTTCTTTTTTTTTTGATTTGTAAAGGGCTTATCTCAGTTGAGAAGCAATATTTCCTCAGAACTCAAAGGAATTTCTATGTTACCTGTGATTTCGAGAGCAAGCATTGCACTATAGTTACTTACTTAAACAAATTGATTACTGTTTTGCTTTGGAAAATAGCTTAGTAGAGGAAGTTTTTGGCAGTGCATCTGCTAACAAATCTTTAGGGAGATGATGAAAAAGGAGTTCATGAACCAGAGCTACAAATTAAACTAAAAGAATGGTGATACTAAGTGCAACATTCAAGGACCATGACTGAAATTAGCCTGCACAAATTATGATAAAAAACAAGTACAAATGCTCACCTGCACTTGTGCATAACTTAACCTAAATTTTCTGAATTATAAAATATTCATTAAACTAGAGTCAAATGAAGATATCTGCAACCTACAACCACTTTAAGAAAAAGAAATGCATGCCCATCCACACCCAAGTGTATAGTATCTAAATTTTGTAAACAATAAGACATTCATTAATTTTGACAGTCAAATGAAAATTTTTATTATCTTAAATAAAAAATTAGAAAATGGAAATAAAGGAGAAGACATCAAGTTCAAAACTCCGTACTCAAGTAATTGATATTTTAAGGGTCAATGTTAAGTAGAATTCAAAGGCATGGCAAACTACAAGCATGAAGCAGCCAATGTAGTAATTGAAAATGAAAATGGCTCTCGCAGTGAATATATTAATATAATTGTGATGCTATTATAGGCAGTACACTTACTTGCGTGTCTTCTTTTTTTCCTTGTAACGCATTACAGCATCACTCCGGTTAGCAGATGGAAAGGAACTCTCAGGGCAGGGGGGACACCATGGAGGTTCTCCCATTAGAAGCATCGAAGATGCCCCACAATCTTGATAATCTCCAGCACTACTCTCTCCAGTAAGGCCAGAAAATGAGAGACTTGAATGGCCTTGCCTTGTTGTGAAACAAAGGATTGGTTCAGTTTTAGCACTCATCATGGAATCAGCAGATGCAGCATTGCTGCATGCAGGCTGTGTAGTGTTACCCAGTCCAATAGATGATCCCTGGAGAAATCTAACCATAAGTACATGTACATGTGAAATCATAAATGCCTATTGCTATTAATGTTTCACAAAAAACAGGCAACAATGCAAATTTTGTGTTGTATTAAGTAAGCAAATTATCATACACATGGATAAGAAAGAGAAACTAAAGAGAGAAAAATAATGCTGGTGAGCTTGGCTAGGTAAAGGTTTAAGTACATATGCACAAAGGTTCAAAAGGCACTGCCTCTATGTATGCATAACCAAAATTAACCCTATTAACAACATTTGCTAATAGTATGATTTACAATGAAAGGGGATTTCTTCGATAGAAAAAAAAAAAAAAAAGCAGTGCACGCGAAAACAAAGAAAGTTCCATATTAGGACAAGTGTTGGGATATATGCATAATCACATTCCTGAGGGGACAATCCAATATCAAAAAATTAACAGGGTGTAATATCTGCATTCCATTCAATGGCCATAACAGAATAGAAAAAACTAATGGATAATTATTACTACTATTCTATTCTTCAATCAGTCCAACCAGGAACTTAGGGTGTATTGCATTAAAGCAGAAAACATTTTCCTTCCACACAGACACATCATCTGCATCATAAACATAGAGAAACTCAATCACACTAGGGTGAGAGCTACATCCTTGTAGAAGTTAAATGCATAACTTTTTCCAGTGGTTTTTTTCTTCCGCATGGCATCTAGTTTCATTTTCTTTTTGGGGGCTGCACTCCTGCTTTTGCATACAGGAGAATGCTTTGATGCTTTTATAACGTATGCTTCTTTTAATTTTATCAATTAGGGGCATAAGTATTGACAATTATTGTTATAACTGTATCCTAAATTACTATTTTGTTAAAATTTTCATTAATATATCAACTTGAACACTGTGCAGCAGATAAAAGACCCAAATTGGAATGAGAAAACATAAAGGATGAACTCCTGCTTAGTAAATCAAATATGATTTGGTAATGGAAATTTTATCTAACAACCCATTTGATGGTGGTCATATATGACCTAGGATGTAGAGTTGAGGACACATCAGTTTGTTCTCAGTACAATAAGAGTCCAAAGCTCCTGCTCAGTATGCAAGTTCGCAAATTAAATTTTTGGACTGAAGTCTAAGATTAAAATTTTAACACTAGTTAAAGTTTTAGCCCAAATATATAAAATTAAAAGAAGTAGATATGATTATAAAGTTAATGAATTTTTTGTCATCCAGATTTTGGGAATTTGTTTCCGCTCTTCCTAGATAAAAGTTGCAATATGGTACAAAATCACACTTTTGGCAGTCAAGTAATTTCATAATATAAACAGCAACAATGAAACTACTCTCTGAACCATTTGTCATCCAAAAAGGGAACTGTATTCGCAGAACTGAAGAGCTCTGCTAACTTAGAACTGTTAATTTTGTTTCGTTTAGGAGTTTATTTCAAATAGAAAAATTTCATGGTTTATTTTTTGTAGCCAGATCAAGGTGGATGAATCACATATTAACGTGCATTTGAACCACAAAAAACAAGCACAAGAAGCTACACAAACAAAGAGGTTGTGCAAATCAAGATAATATACGAGCAGCATAAAACAGAACTGAAAATAAGAAGAAAGAACCTCAGCAGCAACTGCACCCTGACAGTTAGAATCAGCAGCAGACATGTCGTTTGTTCCAAACAAACTATCAATCCCACCATTCTCAAAAAGCTCTTCTGAATTATTAAGGGTAACACCAAAGAGTTCTTCATAGTTTTCAAGATTCAAATCCATTTCATCCATATTAAAGTCATCATACAGATCATCATCTTCACAAAGTGCCGAGCCTTTTATTCCAGGACAGAATAACTGCATTTTAATAATGTGAAGTTCACAAAAGTCCTCATGAAATATAAGAATGAAGGATATATGCATGCATATACAAGTGGAGACAATAGTTGAACTTTATAGTTTAACATTTCGGTTTGCTGGCAGGATTCAATTTTATTGAACATTGCCAAGAATGATAACATAAGGCTCACAAGTCCAAAGAGTTTCTAACAGCTCCTAAAGCAAATGAGATGTGAACTCCACTGATTTCAACTGAGACAAGAAAGAGACAAGAGTATCTCTCACAATGTTCCACATAAAGCCCCCCAACCATGAGTGAAGTTACATTTCCTAAACTAGTAAGGCTCCAGCATAATGTGTTTTGCAAAAATTAATTAAGCTGCTCTATCTGATACAGATGGATTCAAGCCTCAAATGGAACAGTTGCAAACCATAACTGAATGATAGACATTGCAAGTGCTTCACAGCAAACATTATTTTCAATCAACTAATGCCATCGCTGCAAGTATTATATGCATACGGCATTCAAAAACTATCATAGAATCAGTTCCAAGGATGAAAGAAACCTTGCAAAATAGAATTGCATAACCAAAAAAATATGTGATACTTGCAAAATAGAATTTTCAGAGGGAACAGATTCCCAAATACATTTATTTTTCTCAGCATAAAGGGGGTAAAAATTAAAAACTGGCATTAATTGAAAAATTTTATGGTCTAGACTTTTGAAAAGCCAGACGCATCAAACAATCTGATGTGGTAACAAGATTTTCTTGAAAGGAACTTCAAATTTTTACAATTACAATAGTGTAACTTCATAGCTGGGATCTAAAATGTGAATGCATTTGTCTAAAGGAATAAATTTTCTTGAAAGCCCGAAATCAGAGTCACTTTACTGACAAAGACTGTCAAGAAACCACCATGGTAGATACCTGAGCTTTCCTACAAAAAATTTAACTACACCTGCAAGACAATAAATACGTAAAAGCACCATATACCTTTGGCAAAGGTGCCTTTGCAGATCCGGGCTGATCTATATTGTTTGGCATAGAGATCAATTCAGGTATTGAAGGAGTCTCGAGATAATGGTTGCGTTTAGCTGTTTCACATGACTCAGCAACAGCAGTAGCCCGGTTTGCATTTTGGCTAATGACATTTTCTGGAATATCCCATGCACTAGTGGAGCTATTTTCATCAATGCTCATCAATCCCATCTTCTCGCAAGCAGATTCACCACCAGCGGGAAAGTCTAAAACAAATGACCATATTGAAGAAAGCTCAGCAGCCGATGGACAGCCAGAGTAAGAACTGATTGTTTGCCTCTTATGTGCAGAAGTTGAGGTAGAGTTGCCATGAACCATCCAGTCACAATTTTGACAAAGGGAGATCCTTTCTTCAGCACATCTAACTAATGCGGGTTGTGAATTGCATCTTTCACATAACAGGGTACGTGAATGCCTCTTTGACAAAGCATTGGCAGAGTGAACATTTCGATCACATGATAAACATAAGCATGCAGCATCTGATCGGCAGTAGACCATAGGCCTTTGATCTCCACAAAAATCACAAATGTAACCCATGTTGCAAATTTAATATCCTCTGTAGACTCAATTAACTCCAATCTGAATTTAGAAGTCAGCAAACAAAAATATGCAGCACAATCCACCGAGGGTTTTTAGAATCTGCAAAGAGTGTCATAAGGAAGACAAATTCAATGGTTCTGCCAGACATATGGAATCACGGAGATAGACTTACACTTCAATGAGATACAAAAATGTCTTTATAGAATCTATGCTACACTTACAGATTCTATTTTCCCTTTTACCTTTAGGGTAACCAAAACAAACAAACAAAAAAAAAAAGCTTTCTCAAACTCTGCTTGAAAAATTAACTCCGAGAAAAGATCAGATTAATGTTTTTTCTTTTTGGACCACATAAAACTTCCAACTCCACAGAAACGAGAAGATAAGCTATAAAGGGAATTTTGGCTTAAAATAAAAGCACTTTTGAAATATATATATACCTTTTTGTAAAAAAGGAAATTCCATAGGAAAATCAGCAAAGGTCTAACAGATACGAATTATGAGCTTCTATAATTAAAAAAAAAATGCAAAAAAGAAAATTCAGTTTGATGAAGGAGTATGAACTAGGCAATCGTGGCCCATAAACAAAAAAATCACCATAACCAGCAAAAAAAATAAAAATAAAAATAAGAAATCGTTACACTAAATCACGAACAACACAACAATCCACCATGATCCAGAAAAAAAACAAAAACATCAAACAATTAAAAATAAATATAATAAAAAATAATCAATATTCACTAACAAATGAACTCAACCAAGGATTAGTCTTACTTTCACTACCCGCAGAACTACCAAAAACGAAAAACAGATAAACACATACAGAGAAAGAAAAGAAAATTACCATAAAAAGGAACAAGATCTGTCAAACAAATCATTAATTGCGAAAGCAAAAAAAAAAAAAAAAAAAAAAATCTAACAGATACGAATTAAATGAGCTTCTATAATTTAAATAAAAAAAAAATGCAAAAAAGAAAATTCAGTTTGATGATATGTGTTAGTAATTGAACTAGGAACAAAATCGTGGCCCATAAACAAAAAAATCACCATAACCACAAAAAAATAAAATAAGATAAGAAAATGCGTTACACTAAAATCAACGAACCAACACAACAATCCCAACCTATATATCCACCGAAAAAAAAAACAAAACATCAAAACAATTAAAATAAATATAAATAAAAAAATAATCAATATTCACCTAACAAATGAACTCAACCAAGGATTAGTCCTTACTTTCACTACCGCAGAACTACCAAAAAAACGAAAAACAAGATAAACACATACAGAGAAAGAAAAGAAAAATTAACCTAATAAAAAGGAAACAAGATCTGTCAAAACAAATCATTTAATTTGCGAAAAGCAAAAAAAAAAAAAAAAAAAAAAAGACTAATTAAAAATATATATGGCAAACAAACAAACAAAAAAAAATCAAAAAGGAAAAAAGAAAAAGTTGCAGAAGATAAGAAGAAACCGTACGAGATAAAGAGAAGCTCTCTGGAATCTATCTCATTTCTTTCCTGTCTAACTGCATAAAAAAAAAAAAAAAAAAAAAAAACTATTAAAATATATATGGCAAACAAACAAAACAAAAAAATCAAAAAGGAAAAAGAAAAAGATTTGCAGAAGATGAAGAAGAAACCTACGAGATAAAGAGAGCTCTCTGGAATCTATCTCATTTTCTTTCTTGTCTACTGCATAATAAAATGCAAAACCAAAAATAACAATAATAATTAATAATAATTGTTTCTTTTTTATATATAAATTAAAATTAGCTTATACAGATAGAAATGGAGACAAAGAGAGAGAGAGAGATTGGGTGGGCGAGTTAAGAGCACAGGAAATGTGACATAAGCTGATAAAAAAGTGCAAAGAGAGAGAAGAAAAAGGGCAAATTGTGGGTGGGGGAGGTGGGGCCCCATCCTTTTCATTAGTGCAAAGAAAGCTACGCTTTTTACTTTCTGGAATAAAGCCCTTCCTAGCTGCTAGTTGTCATTTTATCAACTGTTTTATTAGAGAGTTTCGTCAAATATTAAATTTTAAAATATTTATATAATTGAATTCCATAAACAATAAAGAAAAAAAAAATTCAAAACACAAATATTACATCATAAATTGTTGTCTAACAGAGCTAAAATCCAATTGTTATTGAAAATTACGAGTTCAAGGAATAAATTAAACTAAAAGCTCAATTTTGTATTTTTTTTTTTTAATAATAAACTTAAGGGTATATTGGACTTTAGTTCTTTCTTTTATTATTTAATTAATACTTTGTTTAAAATTGCTAATCCAAAACTAATCTCTGCTTTTGCCTACTATCAATGTGTGTACAAATGCCACCTATTTGCCACATCGACTCGACACGTGTCTCTTTTCATTTGTTTTATGATTTCGTATTTTCATATTTTTTTGGGTTTTTACCTCAGCAGTTAATAATGTTGCAGTGATTAGTAGGTAAGAGAAAAAATAGCGCGAGTTTAGTGATTCATAATGTTTAATAGCCTTAAAGAACCACCAAACGGAAAAAGTCCTCATTTAACGGTCAAATTCTAGGCATACGAGGTTGACTGAGATTAAAAAAAAAAAATTGACAAAACAAAGAAATTAAAAATTAAAATTTTTTTAAAGAAGCCAACAAGCATGAATATATTTTCCCTGTTGTTTTCGAATTCGAGTCTTCTCGATAATATAATTTTTATAAATTTAATGAATTAAAGAGATAATTATAATTACCATTATTGATATAGCATATCATCTTATCTCGGTCTCATTTTATGTTCGCGTTAATACTATTAATTATTTTTCTTTTTCATATTCGATGCAGAAGACAAATATTTTTTTTTAATGTTTTGTGCTTAATTTGGAAATAAAATTTCAGAAGAAAAATAAATATTATATTTTTCTTGTTATTTTCCTTCGTCTTTCTAAATAAGAAAATAAGAGAAAATAAAGGATTGTTTATTCCTAGAAGACTGGAGTAATTTTTTTAAAAAAAAATTTAAAAAATTAAATAGAATTTTGTGTGACTAAAATTTTAAAAACAGTTTTAAATTTTTTTCTACACCCAAAAGTCATGTTTTTCAATGTATTTTATTAAAAAATCACATTTTTATAATTAAGATTATAATATCTATAACTTTTTTTTAAAATATTCTTATTGGAAAAAATAAAAAAATAATAAATAACTTAATTAATTTTTTATCTTTATTTTAGTATTATGATTTAATATGTAATTATTTGATTATTTGGTAAGAATATTTATAATTATATTATTTATTTAAAAAAACTTTAAAAATAAAAATTTTCTCAATTTATTGAAGTTTCTTTTAATTATAAATTTTATAAATAATATTATTTTAATAATTTAGTTTCTGGAAACTATTTTTTAAATTAAAATTAAAGAATAAAAATAAAAAACAGCTTCTGTAAATAAACATATCATAAATTTATTTTGCTATTTTTTCTTAATTAATTTCTTTCGTTTCATATTTTTTTACCCTTCCAAATATAATGAAACTTTTAAGTGTTTGTTTATATTAATAGAATGTGAAATCAATCAAAAAATCCATAAATTGCAGAATTGATGAATTACTAAATCAAGTGAATTTCATATTCAATCGTCTGACTGAAAAATAAAATCTATGGATTTGCATAATAATTTTAAAAATAAATCAATTATTTAAATTCCATGTATCAATCTTTTGAAATGTGATTTTTCTCTCTTTTAAAAAGATGGAATTGAGGCTATAATATTTACCAATTTCATGAATTTTGACCATTTTTTCTTAACTAAATAAAAAAATTAATGATAATTTTTGTGATAAAGAGGACTCAAACTCGAAACTTCTCAATCTCATACATTTTCTGTAAGGATTGACGAGATGAATGATATCTTATCAATATTATATTATTCGCGAAATGATGTTATATAAACTTAATAAATATTATTATATGAAATCATATATTATAAACAATTACAATAAATAAAATAATAGCACATTAGGCATTAGCGTGACAGACCAAACTCAATTTTTTAATAATAGAAGTGCTTAGCAGAAAAGCATTTTGTAATAGTTTTTCCATTTCTTGCAATTTACTTGGCGGCCATAAAAAGGAAAGAAAGTTTGTTTGTTTTTCCTTTGAACGATGGAAAAGGGTCTTCGTGCGGGTGAGGCAACTCTATAGTGCTCTGCTTCAAATCTAGTAGTATCCAAAAGTGCAAGCAAAGCAATTCTTTAAATTATTTATTTCCTCTCCTTATGAGCTTTTTGTGCACTCTTATTCCGTCGTCACTGTATCCAAATAATTTATAATTTTTTTAACTGAAAAAAAGATCACCAAGTGTTCTAGTCATTACCATGTCGGCTCGGGTCACCGATCATGTATTGACATCTTGATTTAAGACACTTTTATAATGCGCATCGACCTCCTGAGCACCGATGAGAAATGCTACCTCCTTCCTACAGTATCATAGTATTGCAATCTTCAGTCCACGACAGTAGAATCCAGCCTAAACAACCCAAAAATTAAACTCTTAGACAGTAGAGTCAATATTTAGACATCATTCAATTTATTTATATTCCTACTTATGAAAGTCGGCATATATAAAAGGTAAAGAACAAAAATTTTATGATATGGTAATATATTATAAAAAGTAGGTATGCACTTTCTTTTATTCTATATTTATACAGATTGGTTGGATGTTTTTTTTTTTTTCTTTTGTTTTAGCTCAAAATTGAATTGAATCCAGCTCATAGTACTTGACCATAAGTTTTAGGGAAGGTGTGGATGTAAGGAAATTAAATCATTAATACAAATAGATAATAAAATTTGGATGTAAAGAAACTAAATTAGCAATATAGATAGACAGTAATTAAAAACTGCATATTTCCAATAAGTTGCTAGTTTAGTGTAAGTAATATCTAATATCTTATCAATAAATGATTAAACCAATGGAAATCTAATGTATTTTAAATGAATTTTATCTGTAATATCAGGTAACTAAGAGTATCTCTAATACTAATGTGAATTGTACTTATTTAATTACCAGAAAAATAGAAAGATTTTTTTAAAAAATATTCTCTAACTTTAACGTCTATTTGGTATGTCAAGCTGAGGTATAAAAAAAAAAAGAATAGACAATGTCTACCACACCTTTTATTTCTAGACGTCTTTTAAACAATGTGGACATTTATTGCTCTGTAGTGGTTGACTATATATTAAATTGTGGACAAAGAAAAGAAGAAAAAAAATAAAGAACGCAAGAGGATTTAAAAGTAGTACATTGAACATAAATTTTAAAATTCAATATCTATAAATAAATGCTTAGCCACATACACTATTCACACTTTTTATTCTATACGACATATTAGTCACAATTCACATTAACATTGAAAATACTTTCTTGGTGGCTTAAAAAACTTTTCAAAATTATATATATATAGAGCATGTTTTTCCTATATGAAAAACATGATATTAATAAAAAGTGAAATATTAAAAAAAAAAAAATTGGGGCTAAGAGAGCGAAGGCAACGTTCTGACCTCATTGGCCATTTATAAGGTCTGAAATCTGGAATTGTTACTTTCATGATTACTTTTTATAATTTTTTATAAGAAATCTTAAATTTTTAATGATTATCATTTTTATAATTACTTCCATAAGAAATCTCAAACTTTCAATAATTTGTTTTTCATCTTAGACTTTATTTCAAGAGATGAATTAATTTAAAATACTTTTACAAAACTATTATAATTTCTTTTCATTTATAATTTACTGCAACGAGAAGAGAGTATACGTTAATTTATACTCGAGAAAGTATGGGTACGAGAATGGAACCATCTTATACTATTTGTTTAGATAAGGCATTTGTACGTAAGGAAAGGAGCCACTTGACGAGACAAAGGAAAGACATGTGAGATTCAACCCCACAAAAAGTTCATCACTTTATTGCATTGCCCAAACTACCCTTCTCCTTCTTCACGATTAACGGACCGCCCGCATCCCTCTCTCTTTCCTCCAACCATTATTCCTTGGTAGTATTTTACGAATATTAATTTTTTTTAGGTTTGGATTACAGATTACTAGATTAAGACCATTAACAACATTGGTAAAATGTTTGACCTGACAAACACTTTTATTTTTGGAAAAATCTATGATATTTAGATCAGCTAAGGGCCTTGGGTTAGGTAGGCAAAATCATGTCTTACTTACATCATCATGCTGATTTGTCAGTTGTGAAACTCTAATTTTGGTGTTTTGCGAGTTTGCTAATTTAGTATATGCAAAAGATTATGGGGTAGAGCATGTATGGCTACTGGAAAGTGGTAATGACAGTTTTTGGCAATGGGTTAGCAGAAATATTTTACATTAATGAATAATAATTAGCTCTGTAATTTAATTGTATAAGTTTAAAATTAATTATCCTTTGGAGCTCACTATACAACAACCTCTAAAATGTCTGATCCATACGTGTATAAAAATGTAAATTTATAATAATATTATTTTTTTTTCTTCATAATTTGATCATTTCTAAATAAAGGAAAATTCTTTGAGATAATCTATTTAGTCCATGCATCATAAATTCAGTATACCATAAGATCCAACTATTATTTTTTTTCTAGAAATGACTATAGAATGCCAAGAGTAATTTTAAAGATAATCACTGTATAGTCTTTATAGTTTGATGAAATACACTAATTAGTAAGGACCTCAATTTTTATAATTTTACACTATTTATTCCCTATATAATAATCATTCCTACCGGTACTTTTAATATTTCATAACCACTTAATGGAGAAATTAAATATTAAATCTTATAGTATAACAAAATTATAATACTATAAGGACCTTTACCGTATATTTGATAAAATTCTTTTTTTCCCTTTTAATTTCCTTTCAATCTAAAAGTAGAGCGAAAAATAATAAAAAAATGAATACTACAATTCTTATTTATTTTTCTTTCTTAATTCATAGGCAAGTGATGAATCAGACCAAAAAAGTACAAACAGAAACAGATGCATTTCCTAGAATGGAGGACAGGTTCCTGAGGCAAAAGGTAAAGGACACGTACCGCATTTAGCAGATTGCCACATGTACCAATAGCAAGAAAGAACTCTGCACACTCGAAAAGCAAGATTAGACTGATATCCGATCACGTAAAAGGGAAATCATAAATCATAGAGACACGCCTCAATTTTTCGGCTAAAATATTCAACATCAAAGTGTTTAATCGGTCCACATACAACTCTCATAAAAAGTGGTCCCAATGTTTAAAAATTTGTACCACCAAAAAACAAAAAACGACAGCAAACCAACTTCAATTTTCAATCATCTACCCCAGTAAAAAAAATATAACTTGCAACTAGGATGGTTCAAATCAGGTTGTATACTTGTATGGGACCCTTGTTTGAACAGCCTATAGGTGAAGGTGATAGATTTCATGTAATAATCAAGAGAGCTTTCAGTGTCCACATTAGCACATTCAATAAAGACATAGTTACCCAAATATCCATTTGAAAAGCCCTAATTCTAACGGCAATAGTCTTCCTTTTCCACCATATTTTCTGCTGTGTATATCTCAACTATTCCTCCCTCTAGAATTCAAATATTCAATACAGTAGCAGCCATGCCAGCCAAACAAGGAAAGTCCCTTGTCCAAACAACAAAAGAGAATAATAGAAGACCAAAAAAAAGTGCAAATGTCAAAGAAACATTCCTAAATTTAGACTTTTGATTCAATTGAAATTAAAATATACAAATAAGAGAATCGCAAGGGCAAATAGATTGCATGTGCTAAATCAATCAATGAAAAAACTCGCTACGGATCTCATTGAGAAGGATGAGTCATATATCTGTGTTATGAATCATACAAAAAATGAGCATACCATCTTAAAATACAGAGTAAAGGCAATAGATCTCTTCCCTCAAAGGAACTGAAGCACTGTTCATGTTCACGTGGACTGTACCACCTGGGAAATACATCTGCAAAGCCTTATAATCCTTGAATACCCAACTCCAACACTGTTAACTGCAGTCTTTATTTTAACTGATAGCGACTCCGGCAGTGACATGTATGTCCCAGCAATGCAAGCTTTTAGTTGATATGGAAAGATGTCGGAAGGATAAATCCCACTGTTTCAGAAACACAGTTATTAGACAATCAAATCATCTTGACAAATCATAAAACTCCAAAATATATATGTAATTATAAATCAACAACTTATTACTTTAGGCTAAAGGTTTAAGGTCCGAAATCATCAACTTGGTACGAATAAATCAAACTTCTCTTTTTCTTTTTTCTTTAGGGAGAGGATATAATATTAATTTAATGTTATCAAGTGCTCTAGTAAGTACAAACTTAAACCAAAACAAAAAGAATATAATAACCACTATTTGCACAAAACTGTTAAAAGTCAATAGCAGGCAGCAGTTACCCAAACTCATCCCCGTCATTTTTTAAATCAAGCAATAGGATTACCTTAGAAAGACTGCTCATAAAAATTGAAAGGTTGTTATCATGACAGAATAAAATTTGCAAAAGACAACTTCTATTACATGGAAGATTGATATCCAATCAAGAAGATTTGAAACAATTTAGCGATATTAGCCAATTAGTCTTGGTGATGTAGCAGAAATAAGGAAAACTTTACTTTTTTGGAGACTAAAGCTAGGGTTTCAGAAGTCAAGAAATTGGGGCTGAAAGACAACTTGGTAAATCAGAAAATTGTCAGAAAATCAGAGAAATCAGAAAAACAAAATAAAATTAGCCTCATACTAACAGAATCTAGGACTTGCTCCTAACAAGAAAGCTATCAGTTTTTATAGTTCAAATCACATCATACAACACAAAAAAAGGCATCGTTTTTATTCACTGGAAAACTAAATAAGAGAGCATTTAAGTTTGGGCACTTATACTCAAAGTAATATAAGCCTACAAGCATTTTTAATCCTTAAAGGACTTGCACTCCAAATAGAAAATTTGAACTAAAAATAACTACAAGTCTTATTACAATTCCATGGTAAGAGTTCCAGTCAAAAACACAATTTAAACTAAAAACAACTACTGGACTCATTAGGAATTTAGGATTCCAGGTTAAACCTGAGAAAAAGTAAATCTAAATCAAGCCCAAGAGTCCACGGTGAATCCAGCAGACTACAAAAATTATTGAAATACCCCCAAATGCAGAAAACAACTTCCCATTGTATTGTAAATATTAATTTGCACAAATTAATATTTAATTCCCCATGGAGTACACTGATTGTCTGCATCAGTTTGTAATATGACAAGACTTGCACAAGTCACAACAGACTTCAAAGGCAAAAACAGCACTCCTAATGTCAAATGGCACTACGTAATGAAGCTAGGGATTGGAATTGAGTAACTTGCACAGAATAAGAGAACAATTATCACATTTTAATCTTAATACACTAACACAATTAGGGTAACTGCTAATTGCTAAATAGTGTAGGGGAAGAAGCAAAAGGGGACTTAGCAACTGAAATCATTCTAAAGGCATAGCCTTGAATGTAGGACAAAATCCATATAACTAACCCCAGCTATTTTGGAATTATGGCTCAGTTGAGTTGAGTGTAGGTGATTCCTAGAACCAACTGCAGTATCTTTCTTCATGATCTTAGAAAATAAGGGTGAAGCTTACTGTCACTGACCAGCTTATGCAGCACTAGCACAGCTTGCGTGCCATTAAGGATATGCATAACTTAATTGCTCCACAATAATGTGTTCTAATATGGCATGAGTTTGAGAACATTTAGGAAATGTGAAGAAGAATAAGTAGTGCAAGTTTTACCAGTTCAAACATGTCATGTCAAGAGTCACCATCAGCTTCTGACCATTGTCAAAATCAATGAAACAAAGCTGCAAATCGAGCTGCTCAACTGAAGATAAAAAACAATATAAGGTGAATGTTAGTTCCGACCTTCTCAGGCATCAATTTCTTTTTAGAATTATATGGAACTGAGACTGTAAATTCAAACGCATCGAATGAGAAAAATAAATAAAAGGATAATAATAAGTTAGCCTAAGAAGGATGGACTATGAAGCCAATCCTTCAATGGCCATAGCCAAAAGGAAGTCAAGAAATAGGGGTCAACAATATTAGGATATAACCAAAAAACCCAAACCTAAACTAGTGAAATTTGGTTATTTTGTTAATATAATTTTTATTTCAGTTTGGTTTCAGCTATTTTTCTGTAAAAGTCAGTTATTGGCTTGTTTATAGTAAAAATTGAGCAAAGTAAACCCAGTTAACTTATTTTTTAATAGATAGTAATTTTTATAATTAATGATTAAATATTCTTATTATATCCTAACATTAACTGACACTTTAAATATGCTTATTATAATTAATATTCTTATTATATCCTAAAACCCTAAAAAGGCACCTTGGAAACTCCACTTCTATCTTTTTCTTTTTCACTAATCTTCTCATTTTTTCTACTGAAAATTTGAATTTTGGCTATCAATCATTTCTCAGAGATCCTTTCCCTTAGATATTTAGGGTTTCATTGAGGACTTCGAGCATAAAAATCAATAGTCTGAATTTACTTTAATGGGGCCCATAACTTGAACAACTCACTGCCTGCAATCTAAATAGCATCACTAATCCATAAGAAAATAACATTTGGTCAATATCAGAATTCCAAGCCCACAGATAGTTAAAAGAGAAGCATAAAAGGATCAAAACAAACACTATCAGTTACCAGAGGAAGAACAAAAGCTTGTCTGGACCAGATTTCTAATTTCTACTTGTGCTAATTGTACTTCTCCAACCACATCAAGCAAATTATGAAGTAGTGAACTGGTAATCTGCACAACCAAAATGGCATTAGAATGAAATAGTCTATTACAGTATCAAAGGAATCCTAGTTTAATTCAGTCAATTCTGCCCTTCCAAGATGCAGTTTGTGAGAGAGACCTGTACCACATGAACTCAAGTAAATCTAACAAGTAACAACCAAAGCTGGAATTGGAAAAGAATAAGAAGCCACGTATCATTTTCTTGCAACATGTTATGGCACATATTTTGAAGCAAAGAAAAAGACTTGTAGCATATATATCTAAAAATAATTAAACTGCAAGCTTATCTGTTAAATATCAATCTGTTTGCATTTGAAGAGTATAACAAAATACGCACAGGAAAAGGACCAAATGCGGAAAGGGACCAAATGCGGAAAAAGACCAAGATTCACCTGTGTTTCTTGTGCAAAACTTCTGAATCCAACACATTTCTTTGAGGTGTTAGCATTGAGAATACAAGCAAATGCCACGCAAGCCTCCATATTAGGGAAGTTCTAGTAAACAAGAAACACTGAAGTTCAGAATGCATACAGTAAAATGAAACGGATTACACAAACAGAAAGATGCTTGGCTAAATTACCTTTGCAATGATGATGTTGTTCAATATGTTTGAAACATATATGCAAGGAGAATGGCCATCATTTATTGCAAATCTGTATCTCATCACAACATTGAATGCGATTAAGGGCATAAACTACAGGTAATATGCATTTTATGTCTTAAGTGGAGATAGCATGGCAATAAAAAGAAAAAGAAAATCAACAAAGAAGCAACCTTTGGCAGATTAAGCCTTGATAATTGAGATTAATAATTTGTTTACCATTCCTGTTCCCAGAATCATCAACTTCCCACAACTGATGAAATAACAGATAAGACATCTCTCTCAGTGAAGGAGTAGACGATATATTACATGAGGTAAAAATCATTGCAAAGTAGAAAGACCTGCAAATTCTTGTGTATAAACCTGCGAGTTGTTTTCTTCTTAAGGTGATCACCTAGCAGTACGATAGTCTCAGAACAGCTTGGCTCTCCTTTTATTTTGCAGTAATTGTGGAAAGATTTGGTTATATTTTTTATTTTCCTATCTAAAGCTTCAAACTCATGCTTCATTGTAGCCACCTTTTCCCTAGAACCCTGCACAATAATAACGCATCCACTTCATGATGAAACTTGAAATGAACTTGATATTCGTACCTAGATCTCTGAAACATTATATCGAACAAATAAAACATATTGGAAAATATGGAGATATATGTTAGAGAATTAAATAAACATTGCAAGACAGAAAACTTCAAATATTTACTAGGAGACGAAAGTTAAGTCAATCTACATTACTGCAGCATGCATACTGGCAGAGATTCCAGTTTTAGACGCTACACATTGATGTATATCTCTTCCACCCTAAATTATGAATGCCTACGCAATAACAAGAAAGAATATCATTATCGTATATTCAGAAAATTGGATTGGTGAATGACACATGAACCTAACTCAGCACAGCGACAATACAGTGATTGCTCTTTGTTCCATCAACTATTACCATGCATTGAACAGCATCAATGTAATCCCGAAGCAAAATGCCATCTTGACAAGGTCATAATGAATTCAGAGAATGGTAAGGTTAGAAGTGGGGAAAACAGTGAAAGGTTAAGAAAACAATCCCTTGCCTTCTGCTGTAAGGAAAAGAATTGAATCTTAGGGATTAGGGAAGTTGTGCAGCGAGGGAGAGAGAGAGAGAGAGAGAGAGAGAGAGAGAGAGAGCTCCTAAAGTTATGAAATCATCAAATCCTTTCAAAAATATTCTATATAGAAAGAACAATCAATGGGCTGGCTAACGTGGTTTTAAAAACAATTCACAATTTTTTGTAAATCATTCTTTTTCTTCTTACAGTTCCTGAAAATCACAAACCCTCGCATTACACAATTTAAGAATACATTCTTTTATTGCCATCATAAATTTTTACATAATTGGCAAATGATTAAAGTGGAAATCATGCTGAAGGTGTCTATAGAACAGATTGACATCTTAAAACTAATACACATACCACATGTTTACCACCCAAAGTAACTCCGCATGAATTGCTAAGATTATCAACTGTTTTATGTCTGTCATGACGCAAAAATAAATGTCTTCTATTCAATTTCAGTGTCTGAGACTTTTGCATTGCGGAGCTCAGTTGTTGTAAGTTTTTCTGCATGCAAAAATAAGGGCAGATGATAAAAGTATACATATCAAGGAATGCAAAACACAAAAGGAGGAGAGAAATACCACTACTTTCTCACGCTTGACAGACATTAACTGCTGCTTTGCCTTTTCATATGCCAACTTATAAAGCAACATTTTTGTTTCAGCTACTCTGTAACATTAACTCGTCAATTAGAAGTTCTTACAACGAATTAAGTTGCAATGATAAAAGGACCAAAGCCAGCTATATCCATGACATAGTAATAATGAAAACACGAGTAACCACCTTTTATGCAAAACTTCACTGGACTGATCGCACATTTTCTGTGGAAGAAATAGAAAAACAGCAGCAGAAGGCACATAGTTAAGCCAGATTTGTTATTCCAATCAAAAGAAGCAATGAGCACAACAAAAATGTATAAATGATATGATGATCCTTGTTTCAGTTGTACTCATTCATCAGACCTGAGACTTTATTTGGAAACAGAGCATCTCATAAAACTTCATCTTCTGCAGATGAACCAATATATCTTGCAGCACCACAATCTAATGATAAAAAGTTAAAACTACATCAAAAAGAAGTGAAAGACAGCAACAGAAGCATGTCATAAAGAAAGAGGGGAGAACATCTCACCAAATTTACATTTAGTTTATCTACTAACGGAAAGAGCAACTGCTGCGTATCTCCAGAGAATTTTAGCAAAACCTGCAAAGGCAGACACTGAAGTCAGAATGAATTGGAAGGCTAAAAGGGAAAATTCTACAAGACAACCCTTTGGTGTTATCCATTTGCATTGTACCCTTACAGTTTCTGCCGAAATGTTTTATGCCCCAAGGTGCACTACATACATCTATCTCATTAAAATTAATTGATTGATTTTCTTGCAAGAAATTTTAATAAATAGTTTGACAAATCAGTTCATTTCGGCACATATGATGAAAACCACAGAAAATAACACTGCTTCTAGGGCTACAGTCTATAACTTAATGTATACCTCTACAAAAGAACTAATGTATCAAACCATAAGGCCAATTACCAAGACAAACAAACAAGATGACAGAATTAAGATGGGCATAGTTGACCCAGGTCTAACTGCATAAAGCAAAACCTGTATATGTAAGTCCTGTGAGAAAAATTAAAATAGCAACCCGCATACATACATCACTCCAATGCTTAAATTTTGCGTTAGAACCCTGATTTCTGTGAATGTCTGGGTTCTGATTGATCCTCCTTATTTTATCTGCATGATCTGCATCCTCAGGAACTGATTCTTCAATCCTTCTTTTCTTCAGAGAAGAGTTTTTAATGTATTGTGCTGGAATTTGACTCTGAGAAACTTGCAGGTCAAGATGGCTGTCAGTGTCACCAGGTCCACTGGAATTGGAATTGGGAGAGAGTATTTCTTTCCCAGCCAAGGATTGCACATTCTCACCATTTGACACATCGTGGAGTTTTTTTTTGTGGGGACTCTGAGTCATGTCTTTCATAAAGGGGCTCTGCCTTAACCACACATCAAACATAGAAATGTCAAACTTCAAAAGCACCCAAGGAATGCCAAAACTAATATCAATATTAACAAACAGCCAAGTGATTTTTATTCTATCAAATAAGAGAGCGAGAGACAGAGAGAGAGAGAGAGAGATGACCTTCAGAAATGATGGCTCATTCATATTTCTCCTATTTGGGGAAGCTGAAGCAGGAAGAGAAGCATCATTCCGTACCCCAGCAAGCTCCTCTTCAAAGTAGATTTGTTCACTTGTAAATAAAACATTTTTATCAGGGCTTCCTGAGAGAATCTTCAGGTTATTCCTTTCCCTTAAAGGACTTCCAAAATAAAGTAAGGTTTCTGATACATGTTGCAGATCAGAAGGAAAAATTCGCTTATCATGCAACTTTTCCATTTGGTTAGAGCCTTCGAAATGATTAATCTCTATAAGGGATGAGCTAGACTGTGTTCTAACTTCAGCGAACCCGGATTCTGATCCATCAGTTACTGCAGTTGAATGGTTATTGCTGTTGACATTATCTATTGATATCTTATCTTGTCCTAAGCCAATGCTAATGTCGTTATACTGAAGGTCATGAGAGGCAGTGTCCTTATGTTCTTTTGATGAGGATAACTTCTGATCCAACGTCTTTGCTGGAGGAGAAATAAACCTATCAAGAGGACTGCTTGTTTTCACATCATTTTTGTAACCCAGATTAACCTCAATCGATGGGGAATCAGATCCAAAAACAGTCATTCTCTGTTGCTTGAACTTCTCTGGCATCAAAACATCTTGCTGGACTTTTTTCAGCGACCAAGTGAATTGAGAAGGTGAATCGACTTCAGTCATCAGCTGAGAATCTCTCTCCTTAGGGAGAATGTGTGTAGAAATGGGAATCAGAGATTCTCCATCTTTCGTAAGGCTTATCACTTCCTCATTTTTGCCTGACATATCATTAATCTCTGGCGTCCCAACACCAACACTATCCATGTAGTCAGTGCTATCATGCTGTTTATTCTTCTGACTAAGTATTTGCTTTTCTAAGTTAGTAACCAGGGAATCCACATTTTTACTCTCGATAACTTTGCAGCTTTCTTCAGTTACAGCATTGAAGGGAGTTGTAGAAGAAAGATGCTTTAATAATCTTACTTTTGATTTTTCAATTCCATCTTTCAAAGAATATGAAAGAGGAGAAGGCTCAAATATTTTGACATTAGAACTGCTTTTATGAATAGGAAAAAGATTCTCAGCACTCCTCATATTTTCTTTCCCAAAAAAAGAACCTGACTGTTTTGGTGAAGGCGTCACATATGATAACTGTTTGCTGGATTGAGCAGTGTCCAAAAATACTAGTCGCTGTTTAGCAGAAACCAATGATATGGACCCAGTTAATGGAGATCTATGTTGTTGATCAGAATTGTGGTAAAAGCCATAATTGCCACTTCTGTTGTTAGGAGTTTGTTCAGAGCAGCCATTGTTTGAATTTTTTCTAGATTCAGTTTGTGCATATGAATTCAACTGCAAAGCTTTACCATTCATGCCCCGTGAGGTACCACCACTATCAGCAGGAAACTCAGTATTCATCAAATTCATCCTGATCACAGCTTTAGCATTGTCATTATTCACCTACAATTGAAATAAAAATTATTATGCATAAGCCACTGCCTTAATTTCCAGACAATATAGGATACGAGGTAAATTTTCAGCAAAATTATTAGAATTTGTTGGCTTCTTCAAGCAACATGACAAGAGGTATAAGATGTGAAACTGTGTCCAAACAATTGGAAGTCAACAGCCAGAACTTAAGAGTGTATTCACTTACAAAAAAAAGTTTTATGTTTTATGTTTTCTAAGAAAATGAAAACTAAAAAACAGAAAATGGAAAATGCATTCACTTGGTAACAAAAAAAAAAAAAAAAGCCACTGCCTTTAAATTCCAGACAATATAGGATATCGAGGTAAATTTTCAGCAATTTAATTAGATTTGTGGCTCCTTCAAGCAACATGAAAGAGGTATAGAAATGTTGAAAACTGTTGTCCCAATAAACAATTGGAAGTCACAGCCAAAACTTAAGAGTGTATTCACTTACAAAAAAAAAGTTTTATGTTTATGTTTCTTAAGAAATGAAACTAAAAAAACAGAATGAAATGCATTTCACCTTTGGTAACAAACTTGGTAAAAAAAAAAAAAAAAAAGATCATATTTTAATTTAAAAACTTTACAAATATCATTCATAACTTTCATAATAAAGGAAATAAAATATTATAAAATAAATTTTAAAATTTTTTATTTAAATTTTTTGAATTTTTATCATTGATTATTTATAATATTAATAATCTCAATTTTTATCATTTCATAAATTTTTTTTAAAATAAATATATTATATTTGTAATATTAAAATTAATTATATATCAAAGCATAATATAATTTTTCATGTTATTGCAACATATTTTATTTTTTCAATGAAAATATTTTATAGAAAAAATTATTTATAGCCATTACAATTTTTTCATTATGAAAATGTCCATCTTTTAAAAATAGAAAACAGTTGGAAAATGTAATAAAGGAAAACTGTGTAAAACAACTTAGAACTGTTTTCCAAATCTTAGTTATATTTTGGAAAATTTGAAAACTGTTTTCTAATTTTCCAAATAAAAAACTGACTGACTGATTTGAACACAAAAACTCTGTATTCCAGTTTTCTTGGAAAACGTTTCTAAAAAACTACTCCAACAGAAAATAGCTTTCTGTTTTCTGTTTTCGATTTTCTATTTTCTAAGAAAAAAATTTTCTTAGAAAATAAAAACCAGAAAACAAAAAAATGGGAAATGCCTTCACTTGGTAACAGTAAAAATCATATTTTAATTTAAAAACTTCATAAACATTCATAATTTTCATAATTTAAAGAAATAAAATATCATTAAAAAAATTTAGAATTTTTTATTTAACAACTTTTGAATTTTTATTATTGATTATTTATAATAATACTATCAATTTTTATCATTTGTTATTTTGTTAAAAAAATAAAGGTTTATAATATATTTGTAACAATAAAATTAAGTACATATTAAAGTATGATATAATTTTTTATGTTATTTAAATGTTTTTTATTTTTTCAATGAAAGTATCTTATAGAAAACTTATTTAGATATTATAATTTTAATTATAAAAATGTTATTTTTTTTAAATGGAAAATAGTTGGAAAACACATTTTTTGTTATAAAAGAAAACTCTCTTCCAAACCCTAATTAATTTCTTGAAAACTAGAAAACTGTTTTCTAGTTTTCCAAATAGAAAACTGACTAATTTGAACACAAAACTCTAATTTTCCAGTTTTTTTTGAAAATTTTTCTAGAAAACTACTTCAGTTTTCTACGAGTGAACACACCATAAATGTTCCAACGAAAACAATTTTAGTGGAGTTGCAACCAGTCATACCACATACATTTGATTATATTGAAACAAATAACTACACATACAGCAAGTAGTAGGAGAAATGCAATGAAAATATAATAGGTGTGTGCAAAACAAACCATGTAAATAGAACGAAAGCTAATTGCAATATGGTATAGTGCCAACACAAAAATCACATCACAACCCTCAAAATCATATTGAGCATCAGATGAACAGAACACAAGCAACCCGGGTGATAAATCAATTAAGAGCACCTGAGTAGGTCAACTTACAGTATATAAAATTGAAGAAATCAAAGCACTGAGTAAAATCCAATCCAAAAGAGAATTCTTACTTTGCTCAGCTGATTAGGAGTTCGCATTTGCTTATCAACAGATGTATCAGCTGCCAAACTTTCAGTTCTGTGAGATGTGCAACCATTAGTAATCTGATCAACAAGAGCGGTCAATGAAACACAATTCACCTTATTCAATTCCATGGAAGCTGCAGGTACATGCTCAGTATATATGTCTAGATTACCAACATTACATGCTTCTTCTCTGTGATCCCTTGAATCAACATGTCCACTGGAATTCTCATTAAACGTGTAAACCTCACTTCTTTTCAATGATTTTTTATCCATAGAATCAGAAACAGAAACATCATGCAAATCCTTACTGCCTGCTGCCAGAAGTGCTTCCAATGTAGGAGAAAGTCTCCCATAATCATAATTTCGTGGGTTTTCTCCAATAAGACTCATGTGATTTGAATCATTACTGCCACTGGCTCTTTCAGCATGAAGAGAAACCTGTGGAATTAGCTTCTTGGCTTTTGTTAGTACCATAAAACTTCCTGAATCAGAAGGAGTGGTTATGCGAGTTGGTGTTTTCTCTTCAAAGGCGTTTACTCCTGAATCTGACCTTGCAAGACTACGGTAATGCATGGAAAATGCAGTCGAATCCATTGTAATATCATGATTGTCATCTGAGGCAGCAGAATCAGATAGCTGTCCACGTCTAATAAAACTTGCTGATACAGGCCCAAAAAAGTTGTCTTCTGAAAAATAGCAACAGAAGCATTTCCTTTTAAGAAATTCATTATTTGGTCATATACATGTCTAAAGTGGGAAATGCTAGCTTTAATTTTTGAGCCCTCCTTCATTACATGTATACAATGTGGATGATCGGAAATGTTAAATGTCTACCGACTCAAACTGATTCATTATACATAAATCTCAAAGTCTTATTACAAAAACATCAAACTAGACCGTGCTCAGTTACATCAAACACCCATAGACCTCCCTTCGTATAACATCAACCAATCAACATTCAGTTTTGAAATTTGTGGTGTTATGAAAGTGAAGCACAGAAATTAATCCAGTTCATTCGAAACATAAACATGCACCAATCAAAGTATCAAACTCATGCAAACCTAAAGAAAGATTAAAAAAAACCAACAAAGTTTCTAACAAAAATGAACAATAAAAAGCACAAACCTTCTTCATTCGAGGTAGCAGAAGCAACAATACTACTTCCAGGAGACGGCGATCCAATCGGTCTCAAAAACGACTTCCCCACACTGCCAACGTCGTCATTGTCATCGTATCCGTCTCTGGTTGGCGTCATTTCTTTAGAATCATCACTATCGGCAAGGTCCCTGAAAAACCCTATGACCTCATTCTCTGCATCTGAGACATTACCGGAACTTGGATTCTTACCAAAGGAGTCTGGAGGAGTTTCACTATCGTCATCTCGTTTAAAAATGTGGACGGAAGTGATCTCGCGGTCGGCGAAGCTCACACGCCGTGAACGCTTCTTCCTCAGAGCTATAGTTTCCTCGTCGGTTTCTGTGTTGCAGGGATCTTCACCAATTGGAGGAATTGAGGCCATGATTTGAAAAGGATTGAAGAAATTTCAGAGGAAATTAGGGTTATAGTGAAGGTGAAGAAGAAAGGAAAATTGGTTTTGTGCGGGAAAGTACGGAAAATGCTGCAATTTGAATGTCCTATCTGATCAAATACTTTCTACTTTTTTGAAATCAAAAATTTTACTTGTACTGTTTACTCCTTGTCTTGTGTTCTCGTTATACCATAAATAAGAGTGTATACTGCCTCGTTTACAATTTTGAAAGAATTTTAAAAAAATTGCAGTTTATGTATTTTTAAAATGAAAAAACTAAATTGTTTTGAATTTAAAATAAAAGTTAAAAAATAATATAAAGAGCAATTCTTTAATAGAATATAACTTGTATTATTACTCAATTGAGTGTTAATATATCTAAATTTTAAAATAAATATTAATACTTTAAATGATTATTAAATTAGCTAAATGCATAAATATATTATTAAATTTATAAAAAAATATTATGGTATTTCAAATTTAGCGAGGTCCTAGTATGCACATTATGAATTTTGATAATATCGTTTTCACCGACAACCATTTTGTTTTTTTTATTTTTATATATATAAAATATTAATTTGATATTTGATACTATAACTTTTAAAATAATGTTTTTATTTTTTATTAGTCAGTAAATGTTTAATTAATCAAATTTTATAATTTGAAATATTTATTACAATAAATTTATAAGTCGAAATATTTAATAAATATAATTTTACAAATTTAAGCATTTTCAATTGTTTTGGGTTTGCAAACTATTGGGTATATTTATGCATTTAACTTTATTAAAAGTGACGCTCAAATTCAATCCGTAACGATGAAAATACAAGTTCAATCACTGATGCCAAGGAGAGGATTACACCTCCTGAATTATACTCAGGTTTCATCGAAGTTTCGTTGTAAATGACTTTATTATTTAGCAATGGATAACTTCTGGATTTCTCATAAAAGAAAAAATTTCTTAGAACACAACAACTGTTCTTCTGAAGTGAGAATCTTTTTTTTTTTTTTTTCTGGGTTTTTCCACACTTCTTAGCTTCATAGAAATTGGCCGCTGAATTTATACAGTCTTTGTCATTTTGAGAATTTATTTTAAATATTTGTGTAAAATAACTTATTTAATGTCTTCATATAATGGAACTTCTATATTCACAAAATTTTCCATTTTGGATTTTTATGACATTTTTTTTTTTGGCATATTTTTGTCAATTGGGCGGATCTAATCCATTCCAAGCTAATCCATACCTGAGCTAAAGCCTAAACAAAAATTATTCTATATCTCCACAGAAGAACACACCCTTGGATTCAACCATATCAAATTCCCTCCTACATAGCACAAAGATCAGAAGCACTTTAACATGCAGAACATCTTGTTAAATTCACTGCATTTAAGGTTGTGCTGTGTTCATAAATTTTCACAGCAGAGATGATTCAAATCCACATTTTTTTTTCAATCAGATGCAGCAAATTATAGGAAAAACATCTCCACTTGTAAAAATAAAGGAACAACGAGATTCAACCATACAATGCACGCCATGGCTCCTTAATGTCCTTTGATATGTTCCCAGGATTCCACATGATTTTCTCCCTCAAAAAGCACAAGCCAACAGTGTTCGCCAAAAGCTCTCCTAACTCGTAGAGTATCTGGAAAATTACCATCAAGCATCAGCAAATTAAATATAAACTACTTTGCACTATTTTCATGTTGCAATTATAAAGTGAAAGTTTTTACTTTCATAACTTCCATGCACCATATATTCCCTAAAATCATAATTGCAATTCCTTAACTTGATAGTCATGTTCATCGAGTGTTTTTGAAGAATGAATACCTCAAGTTCTTCTTCAGCGGCCTTATCTGAAAGGGTTCGATTTCTTTGCCCAATAAGAACTGAAGTTGGCAATTTCAAGACGCGTACCAACTGAAGAAAGCAGGCCAAAGGTTCGTAATGGACCTTTACATTGGATTGTGGCTTTTGGGTTCTAGAAGCAATGGCCTGAGTTATATCCGTTTCTGGACCTATTTGCACACCATAAAGTGAAACTTTGCCATCATTTGCTGTTAAGCTTCTGCTCTCCCATTTAAGTTTTGATGATGTGCCAATAAGTGGAATTATAAGTGTCAGTAGGCCTGATGATCCTTCCCCTATTATTTGAGTCAAAACTTCACTTACAGCACACACTAAAGTCGGCGGCTCATACTTCTCAAGAAGCAACACTGACACCTGTTAAATCAATAGGTTCTTAAAAGTGAGAAACTGCTACAAATGATTTGTATGATGTTCGAGAATTCAGTTTTTGACTATCAAAAATATGTTAAGGGAGATAAATCACATATGACTTCATTTCACAACAGGCAATGGCTAATAAAATGTTTGGCCCTGAAGACAGTTGACTGAAAAACAATAATCATTGTTCTTGATAGAGAGTTCTTGCGTCGTCCAGGTGTCTATACACGCGCGCGAGCGCGCACAAACCCACACAAATGGGATAGGTTCCACATTACTAGTAGAATCCACCTGACGTGACTGTGCTAGGCAAGAAATTTCCGTGCTTGACAACAACTAATTGGTGATTGATGTTTACTTGAGTTGAATTACCATGATTTATAAAATCATGGTTCTGAACTACCCTTCCAATGCATTACACTGTATTAGAACTGCAATATCACACTTTTAATTGTGTCATTTTTTCTGCTTGATACTAATTACAAACTGGCCTATAACAACAAAGCCAGACTCACCAATACCAACATATCTACAATAAGCAAAATAAATCATACGGTGTAAGCCAGGAAATGCGCACTGCTTTATAATATGTAGCCAATTCTTCATAGTATGGAAACATAAATATAAAAACACACCATCTATACTCTTTCTTCTGGCCAGAAAAGAATCTTCTCCTATCATTTGGATAATAGTAATCTACACTTTTAGCTATGAGACTGTCAGCAATTATCTCAACCAATTAAATTGCATCTTTGATAAACTGCTCAAATTATGACTAAAGATAGCCTACATTTGCTCCTTTCATGTTCTCAAGTGTTTATTGCAATGTGTACGCTAAACTGCAATGAACACACCATTTCTAATCAGTTTAAATGGACATTAGGCATAAACATTTATTATGCAGAACAGATAAATAACCTAAGAAGAAAAACAGCACCTGAGGATCGCCACCACTGTCAATGAAATTAATCAAATGTCCTTTTGCTTTAAGATCTTGTACTCCGAATCGGGCCAATGATAGCTCGAACGATTCTTCTCTGTTTGGAGAAAAAAAAATGATCAAAGAAGCAAAGCAGAATCGAAAATAGTTATTGATTCAGCGTTTGTCTAATAAGCAGATAGGAGAAGAGGTTTAACTTACAATCTACGAACAAAGGAGTTAGGGTTTGGGTAAAGAGCAGTAGAAATGGCGGTAGCAAATCCGTCTGTGTCATTGAACAGGAATATTATCTTTGAAGCTACCTTCATGATTCCTTCAAGCTTTCTCTTCTGCAATTTGATTTTGATGCGAAAGAACCTCTTCTAACAAGTCTAAACTGGGATGGGTAACGGCTTGATCAGGAACAAGGAATGACAAATTATTATGTACTTATGTGTCTATGGCATGTTTTTTATTTAACCAATAAAATAAATTATATATTCCCTTCTATTTTTTTTGCTCTAAGAGACTCTAATTAATTTTAGATAAGTTTTCAAATTTTTAAAAATAGATAATTGTAAAAAAAAATAATGTGAATATAAATATTTCAAATAAACACGTCAAACATTATCTATCGTAAATATTTACATAATTTAATAATAAATTTAAATTTAAATCTTTAGAGATATTTAAAAATAAAAAATCATTTTTTTAAAAAAAAGAAATTTATTTGTGAGGTGTTTTAATTTGATTAAAAAAATAGAAAAAAAAATTTAAATCGAGTTCAAATTAGCTCATTCAATACACGACTCCAACTCAAACTTAATAACATTCAATTTAAAAATTTATTGATACATAAATATAATATTTAATTTAGCTCATTCACCTCAAATTGAATGCAAGTTGAAAATTTTTCGAATTTAATTACGTTTAAAATTCTTAGACTCTGAGCTAACATAGAAGATAGAACAACCCAACCCTCTTGGTCATAATACATTTTTCTTTTTTAATTTAAGAAAAAAAAAAAAAAAGACAATCCAGTACTAAGCGCATGGATGATGGAACAAGCAGAGAGAATATAATAACGGTAGAAAGCTGGCGCCAAAATCCCTATCAGATCTATCAGACTTTGAGATCGCCAATTCAATTCACTATCTGAGCTCCAACTCATAACACAAAAAATTTAAATTCCTTTTTGTCTTTTAAAACGAACAAGCAAACGAAGACGAAGAGAGATGCAGAAAACAGCCCAATCATGGTTTACTGGAGGTCCAAGCAGCAGCTCCGCCACCTTTAACGATCAACTGCAATCCAAGTCTTCCTCTTTGCTAGCTGATTGGAATTCTTATGCTGCTTCTCAGGATTCTGATTCTTCGGCTCTAGGGTTTGATCTCGAAGCTGCTGTTCGCACTACCAGTGACAAAGTCACTGGTACTTTCAACGTGTAAACTTTAAATCCCTAAACAGTTTGATCCTTTGCTCCATTTTTGTTCAATTTTGTATCTTTTACTTTATTGCGATCATTCATTTGTAGTTTAGGAAGTAATTCTAGGGATTTTGAGATTTGTTAGATCTCTAATTGATGGAAAGCAATTGTGGGATTTGGCAAAAGTTTTTCAAAAAAATACTCTTAAAAGAGTGGTGTTTTTTTGTGTGGTGAGCTAGACTTGTGAACTAGGGTTCATGGGTCTTCTCAAAGTGGACATTTTGTTAGCAAGCAATCTTTTTTTGCATGATTGTAATTACTGTATATTGTTAGAATTGATTTGTCAGGATTAGGAAGCTTGGAATGCATGATTTTACCATTTGTTGCAAGTTTCATTTACTAGAAGTACAATTTGGTCCATGATATGTGTCCTGATGATTTCCCCCTTGTTTTGAGGCTAAAAAGTGAAAATTAGGGAGATTAAATGGCCTTTCCATAATCAGTCAAATTGGGAACATGATTGTTTTTGAATTACCAATTTTTGGGTAGATGCTTGGTTACTGTTGTAATCATCCATTAATATTTCATTTGAACCAATATTTGTTCAGGGTTTCAAAAGGAGTAAGGGATTTGCCTGGCAACTTTCAGTCTGCCACTAGTAATGTTCCTTCTGGAAAATCTCTCGTCTATTTTAGCATGCTCCTTGCTGCTGGAGTGTTCTTTGTTTTTATCGCATTTACAATGTTCCTTCCTGTCATGGTGTTGGTGCCTCAGAAATTCGCTATCTGTTTTACCATTGGCTGTGCCTTTATAGTTGGTTCATTTTTTGCTCTTAAAGGCCCCAAGAATCAGCTTGCGCACATGTCTTCTAAAGAGGTGCATCTAATATGCTTTCTCACTGATGCTTATGTTAATTATTCACCTAAAAATATATTATTGCTTTGTGCTGGAATCAAGTTATAGAAAATTTCCTGTAAATGATGTATATCTGTCTTCTTATCAACAGAGGCTTCCTTTTACATTGGGATTCATCAGTACCATGGTGGGAACTGTATATGTCTCTATGGTCCTTCATAGTTACATTCTTTCTGTTCTCTTCTCAATTTTGCAGGTACAAAAATGTTTCAACTTGTGTTTGTTACTTTGAATTTGTTAGTCATGTGATTTAAAATATCTAACCCATGGGAACTTGGGAATTAAAATGGACTAGTTGGTAATAGTGTTCTGATCTACTAACTGAATTTAGTCTATCCGAATTGGAGGGAAAGTGAGTGGGAAATTTAGAAATGCAAGTAATTATCATCTGTTAATGATGTATTATCTAAAAATGCAAGTCAAAGTTGAAATTTCAAAAACTTCCCATTCATTATTTTCCTCCAATTTTTTATTCCCATCCATAGAAAAAGAGAAGATAAACTTTTCTACTTATTTCCTCTCTCTGTCTCTCTCTCTCTCACTTTTTACCTCAAACATTTCTTGCTTTTCCAGTCATCCACACAGAGTGTAAATCCTATGCCTCTAACATATGTACTTCATCTCAGTTAGGTTGTGATGTTTATTTTAAGTTGCTGGGTCTGGATATATTTAGGCATGTCAAGTAGTTTTGTTGCTCCACTTTTCCAATTTGTGTGGAGTTCTATAGTTTTTGATTTTCATCTGTGCCTTTATTGGTCCAGTGGGCAATTTTTTCAAATCGAAGAAACCATATATGACACACCTTCACTATTTTCTTGATTTTGCTATCTGAAGACTGTACGTCATGCTATCCACCAAATCAGAGATCATGAATATCAACAATATTATTATGATAATACATGTCATCCAAATTTCTGATATCATTTTCTTCTTCTTATTCTTGTTTATCACTATCAGCATTATGGATTTGCATAAAATGATGTAGTTTCAACCTTTTCTAGGTCCTTGCTCTATCATACTATGCCATTTCATACTTCCCTGGAGGATCTACTGGGCTGAAGTTTATTTCTTCAACTTTTACCTCTTCTATACTGAAATGTTTTGGAAGGTAATCTGAATGTCTAATTATTTCTGTAATATCTTTGATCATTCACAAGATTGTTCTTACATTGTTTGTAAGATAGGAAATGTTCCTCGGAGCACCATTCATGATTTCTGGAACCATAATATCTTTGTGAAATTATACTTTGTTTCTTTTGATATGCTCTTATGCCATGCAAGTTGATAATATTTAAATGTATATATTTTCCTCTCTCCTTTTGGTTGGATGAGTTTTAAATATTAAAAGTTTTACTTTCGGCTTGGGTTTTGTATAGAATGTGAGTTCAGCTTTAATTTCTCCTAGATCCTTCAGATGTGTCTTTTATAACAGCAATCAAGATAATATGCAGCAGACTCTTTCCTGATTTGAAAAATAATAATAAACCCAGCAATAATAATGTGATAAATACAACACAAGCAAGGTAGGTCTTTGCCATGTTCACCAGTTCAAATCATTTTAGGTGTTTTACCATGTTTCATTAATAGCTTGTCTTGCATGGTACTTGAGCATATTCAGGGACTTTGTGTTGTATAAGATATTCATTGATCTGTTTACCTGCTTAAACACGAGAATGCAGTAAAGAGATCTTTTACTTCCATATACCAAGCCAGCTGAGGCCATGGTGGATACTCCTGTTTTTGTGATGCAATTTTGTGTTACAATAACTCTGATATGCTATGAAACTTTGTCATCTGGCTAACTGATGATGTACAAGCCGGTTGATCTGAACCAGATCTGACATTGACATCGAACCATGTAATAACTTGTTTTAGAATGCTTTTCAGGAGTGCATATTTTTTGAAAACAACATCCATACTAGTTTGCGGAAAAACTGAGCAAATGTAAATGGTTTCAAGGTCTGTGTAACAACTGCATAGCTTACAGCTAAAAAGTATCATGCAAATATTATGAATGTAATATACATCAAGGAAAGGGTTCAGACCCCAACAATGAGAATGATAATGTACAGAGTTCATTCTCATTGGAGCCATTTACATTTTACATAGAAAGAACATTCATTCTATCTTCCATGCATAAAGAAAAAGGCAAAATTCAGGTGTCGATGCATTGCTTTTTGCTGAAAAATACTTGCTACTGTCGCTGTTATCACTTGCTGCTCGAGGGCTACTGTCTTTGTCATCGTCACACTCCGGTGCACCTGGTTTAAAGATGAACAAACCATGACCAGTTGCAGCGTTATTAAACAACCAGTCATGGACATCCCAGAAAACTTGCACGGGTTGTGTATTCACCATTACAGTTTGATTTCCTCTGAATTTCCATTGCAAGTTCTTAACATGAATCACCACAAGTCCATCTATGCTAATCCACATCTCAGGGTCTTTATGCCCTGTCGTTGAACTCTCTACGACAATATCATGTTCTTGTTTCTGTTGATCGAATTTAGCTCTGGTAGAGAAAGATTTCTTGGCAAATACGTTTTCCTTCTTGTAAAATAGTACAGCTTCAGAAAGTGCAGGTCTCGCTTTTGTTCTTTTGTAAGCCTTCTTTTTGTGATCTCCCAATAATAATACCACCTCTCCATCTGAAACTAAAGCGACATAAAAATCGCTGCAAGGTTCAGGGCTGCCACAAAATCTGGCTGATCGTAGGTCCCAATGGATATCTACTTGGGATCCTTCGAGCTCGAATGACTTGCACCCTTTTTTGGTCCAGAATATCCAAGGTTTAAGATCAATCTTACAGCTATAATAAATGTCGCCGCCATCTGGGTTGTTGAAGATGAGATTAAGAGAATGATTCATTAGATTCTTACACCATAAAACTGTGACATTACACCAAAATCTGGAAATATGCGTCTGGTAAAGGCAGGTTACCGTGCTTTGAGGTGATTTATTCGTTACAGAATCATCTGTTATTTTATCTATTAAATGTGTATTTGATTGAGCTCCTATTGAGAAGGCTCTCAAAGGATGTGGAAACGACATTGCATCACAAATTGAAGTATATGATAATATAACTATGACTTCAGCTATCCATTGACATATTCAATTGTTGTCTGCAGTACAAATTCTTGACTAAATTCCTTATCTTCTGGGATCAAGACAAGAACCAAAACCTTATATGTTACCTCTTCAACAAGAAGAATTTGTCTGAGAAAATTCGAAGATGAACAATTTCTTGAAAGCTCTCTCTGTTTAATCAAAGTAGTATTTACAGCAGCAACATAAACAGGAAAGAAGTGCAGAAAAATGGTTTGCAAAAGATATTTTCTTTCCCCTTCTTTCGTTTGTTTGAAAAAGGTCTGATTAGGAGTAATGGGTGATGAAATAGTTCGTTGGTGAACGGAGAGAATGTCTAAATTTAGAGGTTGTAATAAGAAGGGTAAGACGAAACACAAGGGGGTCAAGAAAAAGAAACCCAACTGTCTTCGCTGCAATTTTACTATATATTGACCCTTAACGGTAATAATATCTTTGACCGGTAATTAATTAATTTGCATTCTCCAAATAAGAAAAGTTTATTATTGTTCATTAATTAATTAAAATTAAGAAAGTGTTGTATAAAATTACAAAATTAAAAACTCACAATAGAAATTAAATTTAAAACATTTTGTTTTTGTTATTAAGCCTTTTTTTAAATACACAATATTTAATTATCTAATTACATATGAAACAAATTACACATCTTGCATATGTTTCCATTACATTTGCCTACTGGTTCTTGTACTGTGATTTCAACTATACTTGCTCTTTCTAAACAAACTGACTACATTCCAATGGAAATATGATACAGAAATGTACAAACTATTGGAAACTAAAAAACTGAAAATCTTCATATGAGCTCAGTTATTGTTTCATCTCTAACGTTTCTTCCAACCCTGAATCGCTCTCCTGCCTGCTTATTGGATTTTGATCAGATGAAGCAGCAGCCTGAAGTGCCTCTACATACAGAAGCTTCATTAAATTCATAAAACGACGTCGAAAGGTTGGTACTCGGGTCATGAAAGCTACGATGCCTTCCAATCTGCCATGAAGGAGATGCATATTGAATCTCAATTTTAATATTCAATATTTCAATTGCATTTAGGAATAGTGACTGAGTTCACAAAGCATCCAATTTGAAAAGGTACCTACCTTCTAATTATGCCTTGCAATTGTGCTCTTCTTACATTGTCCCTGGATGGAAATTCGGTCTCGTCCCAGTCCTCGGGATTTTCATTTTTGCCCTTCATAATTAGCATTCTCAGGCAATTTTCTTCATCTTCATATAACTGAAGTTGCTTTATTTGCTCTTTCATAATCAACAATGGTCCGATTAACCACTCGAACAGTTTATCCCTTGGTCTTGTCAGCTCAGCATCATCAGCTGCATAATTCAATCACGACAATCATAATATGAATTAGAAAAAGGCCTATTAACAGAAAATATGAATTAGAAAAAGGCCTAGTAACAGAAAAAATTCAATCACCACCTAGTAACAGAAAAATGTCATCACTTCGGTTATGGTCACTTTGTCTTAAAAATTAACAAAAGCAAAAGTTCATAATAGAATTGCAAGAAGTGCTAAAGTTCAAGCCTAGTTTTTGCCATCAAGCCTTAGCATTAATCAAAAAGAGAGAAGAATCAGAAAAGACCTACAGATCACCAACCCAGATGAGTCTGACTTTGCAGAGGCAAGCAGACGTTGTAACAGGGACCAAGCTGGGAGTTTGATGCTCAACATCTTACAATCACCCTTCGAAATGCATACTTCAATATCTTTGATATTTATCAGGCCATCACGATGCAGTATCCTACCATTCTCCTCACACAATTTAAATAACCAATCCCATACCTACAACATAACAAGCTTAAACAGTGAAGTTTGAGATAAAAATATTTTGATGAGAAGGTGCATTTTTGAGTTTCTATACATGCACTGGTTTATATTGCTGGATTTGCCACTTCAATGTTCTTGATCTTTGTGAGTATAGTTTTGCTTCCAGTGAGTTTTCTCGTCTGTCATTTTGACCGCGGTTGCTCTCATCCATTTTTGGGGCCATTTTTTTCCGATATCTAGGCCTGGCTGTCACATAGATGACTATATAAAATGCACTAATTTATCGTAAGGCTTTTTACAAAAGCTCTCAAGAAGATGTGCACATTATTCATATATACGCTGTGCGTGTGTGAGTACAACCTACAAAGCTATTTGTGCTGATAATGTACCTTGGCAGGCGTGATCCTTCCCCCAAATAGAGTAAATCATTTACATATTCATCGAATAATGAAACAACTGCTACAACATAGGCAAGCCCCATATGGAGTGAATCTTCCTGTAAATTTATGGATCTCGATTCAGATAAAACTTGAAACCAATAGAAAGATAACCTATGAACATACCAATATCTGCAAATATTGTAACATAAACAACACAGTGAATTGAATGGAAAGGTGTCTTGCTGCATACCTGATGGACTACAACCACACTGTAAAGTCCCAGAAAGAAACTGGATAGAATTGCACCAATCACGGCTCCTATGACAGCCAACGGCCACAGGATAATGGCAAGACCAGCAAATGGCACACAAACAGTTTCCAAGAATGGCCCTTCTCTACCGATTAAGTCTTCTAATAGCCTTTTCCATCCTCGGAAAAGCATGTATGGGCTTTTCCATAGAGCAACAACTGTAATGAGAATCATATCTACTGGCACGGCAATCAGGATCACCAACAAACAACTTGGCAGAATTAGTAACCTAGAAAGAACAGGATCAAATAATCTCCAGAGTCATTTTTTGTTTCTGCTTCTTCTTCTTCAATTTTTTTTTTTTTTTTTTTTTTTTTTTACCTGGCACCGGGCAATCAGAGATCACCAACAAACAACTTGCATTAATTTAGTACCTAGGATAAGAAACAGGGGATCAAATAATCTCCAGAAGTCATTTTTTGTTTCTGCTTTCTTCTTTCCTCTCTCAATTTTTTTTTTTTTTTTTTTTTTGAGTGACATTAGCACTATTTTTTTTTTTTTTTTTTTTTTTTGAGTGAATTACACTACAGCAAAAGAAAATGTCTTACTTTATGTCCACAGGCTTTTCACCCTTTGGGACTTTCTCACTTAATTCATCCATGAAAGAGAAGTAAGAATGGAAGCAAAAATCTGTGAAGTCCCGTACCACTGTGCAGCTTCCTTTGATAGTGGATAAACAACCATCCTGGTTAGTAAGTTTTTTCAGAACCCAAATTACCATCAGATCCCCTTACCAAAGGCTTACCCTAATTACATAAAATATATTTGTGCAGGGTCTTTAGTACTCTTTTATTCTTGAGAAACACCTCTATTTGTGTATCTGTGAATGTGATGATGCTGAATCCACAACAATACTGTAGATAAGAAAGCTTGGAAACATAGCATGTCTCGACTTTCAAGGACTGAGGGAGGGTGGCTTTTCAAACATAGTAAATTAGAATAGTTGAAATGCAAATACAGAATAAACTTAAAAAGGGGAAATTAGTAGGGTTTTTACAGATTTAAGTCATACATTCAATAAAAAGACATTGAATTATGGTATTTAGATATTGTTTGGCATAAATGAAAACTCATTTAGAAATCTAAGTCAATAATTCCAAGAAATTGATTGTACTTCAACAAAAACCTGTCAATTTGGTAGAATATACAAATGAACATTAACTCAGCAAGGCTACAATTTCGACAACTAACATTAGTTTTCATTGCAAATTGATTCTAGACTAAGTAGTTACTAGTTAGGATATCACACATGACAATTCATTTACAAATGAATTTTTATAAATGAAATGAATTTCTCATTCAATAGATTCAAATACTATGCGAAAGAAATCACACTTTTGTTACTTTGGCAAGTTCAGTTAGGCATTAATCCATCAGTCAAAAAATAAAAGCAAGTATAGGGCATAAAGAAAGAAACTTACGAGAAAACAATGGTAGCATTTCTCTTTGACATTCTGTCCAACAGCTTCAAAAGTAGCGATAAGCGGAGCAAAAAACCCATAACCAATTCCACCTAAAATACTTGCACCAATTCCCAACACTGGCCAAAGGACCAAAGGCAATGGCAACAATAACAACACCACAGTCTTCAAAACCAGCCCCAATCTCTGAGTTCTACAATCCCAAACAAAACAGAACAATTGGAGACTCAAAGGCAAAAAAAAAAAAAAAAAAAAAAAAGGCAAAAAAAAAATAAAAAAAAAAAAAAGGGATGATTAATATTTCATATCGCAAATTCAAATTTGAGGCAAAGAGAAGGCATACTTTTGCTTACACAATAGAAAGTCCACAGAAAAAGAGCAAAAAAAAAAAAAAAAAAAAAAAAGGCATGATATATCATATCAAATTCAAATTGAGCAAGAGAAGCATACTTTGCTACACAATAGAAAGTCCACAGAAAATGAGCCATCCAGAGCCCGATTATAACAGCTGAATTGCCAATCACAATAATCCCCACTACCAATGGACAAATAATAGCACCTGCGGAACCCAAAAACACAAAAGAATTAGCACCAAAACATCAAAAGATTATCCTTTCAACAAAATCATACCTTTAAGAAGGCCAAGAATGAGAAGCAAGAAGAAGAAGGGCAAAAAGCGAACAAAGCTCCATAGCTTAGCAAGAAACCCTACAGGAACTCTCATGGGTCTTCTCCGTTAATGGACTCGGTAATTGAATTTGAAGGAGAAATCAAGAAAAGAAAAAAAAAAAAAAACAAAAACTGAATTGCTACCACTGCACAGCTTTAGAGGGAAAAGAAAAAAAAAGAAAGAGAATTCTTTTACCGCTATAGCCTGAAGAGGATGTTGACATAGGTTACGTGGCAGTAGGAGGTGTCCAGAGAGACACGTGGCGAAAGAAGGAGAGAAGCGAAGCGTGAAAGTCCCGTGAAACGGCAAGCTGAGATTGCGACGGAGACAGTAGTAAGACACTAAAACTGAAACTTTCTTGCTTCATCACTCCTTTGGCGGGAACGAAACGCCTGGCCTACCTAAATACCTTACTCTAATTAAAAAGACAAAGATAGGCTGCTCAACTCAACTGTGCTTTTTATGGGTCTAATTGATTTTTGTTGCGAATTTTAGGTAGTTTTAATACATTTCTTCCTAAGAATTAAGAAACACATGAATTTTTCTAAACATATACATTAAAATGTCTAAATTGTCATTTTTAAAATTAAAAAATCTTTATTTAATTTACTACAAAATCAATGCTAATTTTATCATATATTAAAGCATCACAGTTAGAATAGTATTTTCATTTCATTTTTTCATGTCTTAATATTATGAAAATTTAATTACGTGTGTCTTCAAAATTTTAAAAAAGAAAAATAAAAACAAATATAAATATAAATTACACCTAATAAATATCGATAAATTGAAACAAATTATTAATATACTCTCAAAATCATAAATAATCACTTAAAACTATTTGGTTATTTTGTTCAAAAAGTATCATTTTTAAGGCATTAAGTACTTTGTGATATTTGACTATTTGGTTTTTTATATTTAATACGACGTAATTTAGTCTATCACATTTACTATTAATTACTATTTAATCTCTCTCTCGCTTTGTTCAAAAAAGGAAGGAAAATGATTGAGTAAAACCATGAAAAATTGTCAATTTGCTTAGTTATTTTTCACTATTGTACTGACTCTGTTCCATAATATTTATTACATTTGAAATTTCACGTTTCTAAAAAAAACTATTAAATGTGTCTAAATTGCAATAAATTATTGAGTAAATTGACTATAATACCCTTAATTTAATACTAATTTTTTAATAAAACTATTCACTTAAAGTAATAATTATTGGTCATATACAAAGAGTAAATATAGAAAAAATATTTATTACTCCTTGAAACCACAAATGTGTGGAACAAACTATTTTTTCAAATGTGACAAGTATTATGGAAAAAAAAGTAGTAGTTGAATTATAATAAAAAAAAGAAAATAAATTTGTTTTTCTTTGTTTGGAAAATTATAATTTTTAGTGGAAAAAAACTTATCATTAAAAGTTGATAATTAAACCCTCATTTATTTTTAAACAATAAAGTATGATTTACTTATTTTGAGGTATTTAGGTAATTTAATAAAAATAAACAAAATTCTCATTTTTCTCAATTATTTTCTCTCTAAATTAGAAAGATTCAAAACATGTGAACGCCGCTGATGAAAATAAGTGAAACATTATTTTTTGACTCCTTTCCTTCAATATTTCCCTATATATTTTCTATGGTTATTTTTTTTTCCTTAAAAAAGTAATCCCATTCAAATAAAAACTTAATGATAAATGATGTTTTTTGCATTAGAGGACTAAATAGTTTAATCACTGTATTATCATCAAATTTAAGGATTAAATAATAATTTACCCTATTTGTTAATAATAAGACATTATTTTCCTTCTCTTTTCTAAATATGGGAAAAGATCTTTCCTTATATATTTTTCTATGGTTATTTTCCTTAAGATAATGTTTTTTGCATTAGAGGTTATATTATTTACTCAGCATTTTATCACCAAATTTAAGGATTAAATAATTATTTACCCTATATTTGTTAATAACAGGACATTATTGACATTTCACAGAATCTTAATCCATATAATTAACAGAAAAGTCAAAGACAAACACTGATGTGGGACCCTTAGATCGCCAATAGTTACTTCCGAGAAACGGTCGATTTGTTTCCGATTCTGTTCGATTCCGAGGTTTTGGACTAAAATTATTTATTATAATTATTATTATTTAAAGATGAGCACTAAATTTATATGACAAAATCACCAAACCTTTCATTTCATATAATCGGAGTATGAACAAAAACTGCATCACTGGGTGAGAGAGAAACGAAATGAAATGAAACCATCATTTTGTATTATTCTAACATCTTTATCTTCCATTACTATACTGTGTTTGGTGTTGTTTCTAGCAAAGGGTTCTTCTTCTTATGGTTTCTTTTGGCTTTATTATTTCCCATCATCAAAATGGATATGGTCTTCTACACCCACCATAACCATGGTATGTATCATTACTTTGTTAAGATTTTAATTCTTTTTTCTTTCACTTTCTGTTGTTTTTATTTATTTATTTATTTTTTTTGGTAATTTTACATTTCTCAATTTGTGCATATTAATCATCTGGAAATAGGTTTTTCAAGATGAATCTGATCTTAAAAGAGTGGAGAAGCTTGAAGCAACTCTTTCCATAGCTAGAGCTTTGATAAGAGAAGCTGCATTAGATCATAACTGCAAATCATCTCGTGATGGTGATGGTGATGATGGTAATATTTACAGGAATTTCTGTGCCTTCCATAGGTATGTATTTTTTTTATTATAATGATAAGAGTCATAATCAAATTATAATTGTTACTTATAATCTGCAAAATAATGGTAGATTAATCTATTTTTATTAAATTAAGAATTTTTACTTTAATCTGCAAAATGAGGTCTGCTGAGTTTTGAATTTTTAATCTTTTATTATATAAAGAGAGATAAATTTTTATCCCAAAAGATTGACAGTGTGGTGTATCTCCTAGATAACAGAGATAGGATTTTCACTCTTGTTCAAGAAAAGAGGGAAGAGATAGGGTTTACTCTTTCAATCTTTAGCCCTTGTAATTAGCTCTAATATAGAGATATTATTGGCTTATTTAGGATAATTTCAATTTCTTGAAGATTATTTTGTTTTTCCAGTTGAATTAAAATTGAAACTTGAACTCTTTTTTTTATTTTTTATTGAAATAATATATGTCTGGAAAAACAAATATTAAGATCATTATTAAAAATTTCCATATTTGTGATTTGCTTTCAATAAATAAAATAAACATTCACATCAAGCAATTTCATTTCATTTTTAACTTGAACATTAAACCATGAAAATTAAAAATTGATCTGCAGAATATGAGGTTTGTGGTTTTCTATTTGAATTTTGTGTAGGAGTTACATGTTAATGGAGAAGTTATTCAAAATATTTGTATATGAAGAAGGAGAGCCTCCATTATTTCATTATGGCCCTTGCAAGAACATATATTCGACAGAAGGATTGTTCTTGAGCTTAATGGAGACGAATACCAAGTTCAGGACCTTCAATCCTCATGAAGCTGTTGCCTATTTTCTTCCATTTAGTGTTGTGATGATTATTGAGCATCTCTTCCATCCCGTTATTCGTGATAAAGCTGTTCTTGAACGTACGATTGTTGATTATGTTCGCATCATCTCTCACAATCACCCTTTCTGGAATACAAGCCATGGAGCTGACCATTTCATGCTTTCCTGCCATGACTGGGTAAATAATTTCATATTAACTAATGCTGTAGTATTGAATTATATATTTTACAAGATTAATCGGAAAATAAATAAACTGTAGAATCAGGTCAGTAGTTGGATAATGATCGATAAGATGAATCATAATTTTTGTTAGTTCAAGATTGATTGTTTAATAAAATGAACTTCAAATTTAGGTATAATCAAGACGAATTCATCAAACTTGATCAACCATTAACGAATAATCCTAATGTGGGTGGATTTGGTCAAGGAGATACATAAATAGTGCTTCAAGACCTATTACATGTGCAAGGGATTTTGTTAAGACTTATTTTTTTTATTAAACGAGCAAAATTAAAATTTAACCAGTTCAAATATGATTCTTACATATCTTATATGAATTAGCTAAGTACGAGCTAGCTAATTTTTGGCTCGGCTTATTTTCATCCCTTTTTCCAGCCTCTAGTTGTCTTCATAGTCATAATGCAATCAAATGCCTGTTTTTTTTTTCTCTGTTGCTTTCTTAACAGGGGCCAAGGGCAACCTGGTACGAGCGTCAGCTATACTTTAATTCCATCAGGGTCCTCTGCAATGCAAATACTTCTGAGTATTTTAATCCAAAGAAAGATGCATCACTCCCTGCTATCAATTTAATAACAGGAGAAACCACAGGGCTTGTTGGTGGTTTATCTCCATCAAATCGAACAATCCTGGCATTTTTCGCTGGTAAAATGCATGGAAGAATAAGACCTGCCCTTTTACAGCATTGGAAAGAAAAAGACAAAGATATACTAGTTTATGAAAATCTTCCACAAGAACTTTCATATCAAGAAATGATGAAGGAAAGCAAATATTGTATTTGCCCTAGTGGATATGAAGTTGCTAGCCCAAGAATTGTAGAAGCAATTTATGCAGAGTGTGTTCCAATTTTGATATCAGAAAATTATGTTCTTCCATTTAGTGATGTTCTTGATTGGAATTCGTTTTCGATTCAGATTTCGGTAAGTGAGATACCAAACCTGAAGAAAATTTTATTAGGAACACCTGAAGATCAATATCTAAAAATGCAAAAGAAAGTGAAGTATGTGCAAAGACATTTTGTTATAAATAATCCTCCTAGGAGATTTGATGTGTTTCATATGATACTTCATTCGATTTGGCTTCGAAGGCTGAATGTAAAGAATATTAATTAGTTGAATTATAACATTTATGGTAACAGATTTGTATTTTATAATGAATGGCATGACAATGTTAAGGTTTTTGGATCAATTATGGAGAATCATTTTTGGGTTTTGCTTGCCAAAAGGTTTTCAAGCTTTAATGGCAACAACTATAATCTCTCTATATCAGCAGGTCTGGTGTTAAGGCATCCTAAATTTGGTTTGATTTGACTTATGGATCGAATACAATTTTCAGATGCAAGGGGACCAGCTACATTGGTTTTTCTCTTACCTCAAGAAATTTGGAAATTTTTATCTTAGAGGATTCATCATTGAAATTTCGAAACTTGATCAGATTTTTATTTTTTTTTCCCAAATGTCCAAGCACACTACAAGACGAAACTACAAATTTGTGACGTAATAAGTTGTTGTTTCTATCTTAGAAAATGTGCATATCACATAGCAGAAGTGACGACAAATGCTTGCTTAACACTACGTCATAAGCAATTTTAATATAATGTATCTTAACAATTTTGTTGCCATATACATTCTGAATTTTCCTATACTCTGCACCAAAGAGAAAATACACCGTTTGCAAGCTGCAAGTATCACCGAGCGAATAAAAAAAAAAGGTTTTTATAAAAAATTTGGCTGTTTTATTATTTTTTTACCCAGTGTATGATCATAAATATCCTTATTTAAATCAAAATACTATTTGTAATTGACTTGATATGTAGATAGGCTCATACATCTGTGTAGATAAGTTTTTCTTATATTTTAGTTTACTTTTTTCAATTAATGAATATAACCAACTAATAATCGAATTGAATAAGAAACCTTCTCATTTTTACTAACTAAAATTGAACCGAACATAAATTAAAATTAAATTTAACAATTTATTCGGTTTAATTTAGTTGGGTTAGTTGGTTAGTACTGATTAATGCACACTAATACTGGTCAGGTATTTGAAATTTGGAGTTATCACTGTTCGAAAGAATTTGATCACAGAATGTGGAAACGTGTGTACAAACAAAAAAACTATAAATCATGAAATTTAAATAAATTCATTTATTTATTAGACACGTAAACTTGAAGAAACCATAGAAGAGAAAAGTGTCGAAAAAGATTACCTCTAGAACAGAGAAAATAAATCCCTTTGGTATTATATATATAATAAAATATAGAGAATAATTTTTACATGCAGCAAAGAATAACTAGAAAAGCAAGCAATGAATATGTTGTTCACATGCACTTAGTTACATATATAGAATATATAGAGTTTGCTGAACAGAAGCATTGAAGAGAGAAAGCTATGAGGCCACCAAACACTAAACCATTAGTCTCCTCCTCATCGTCATCTCCTTCATTTTTGGTTCTGACAATTGCTTTACCTTTATTTATCATTTTATTGTCTTTTTTTATACTGTTTCCTGATGAGGGCTCTTCTTTGTCTTCTTTGCCTTCTCCTACCACATGGAGACTTGGGTTCTTCACTTCCTATCCTTTTGCTTCTTTTTCACTAGCAAACAAAGCTCCTACAAGGAATTACACCATTTTCAATAACAATGGCTCCTCTATTTTTTATCAACCAGTAAGATTAATTACTCCATTTTTACATCTAACATTTTCCCATTTTCATGTTATCTTAATTATCTATTGATTTGATCAATTAGGGACATGAGCAAGTAAAATTGAACCTTAAAGAATCCGATGAAGTTGGTGCTAATGCCACAGCAGAAGTTGTGAAGAGATACAGTAAGTTAGAGAAAATGGAAGCAAATTTGGCTAGGGTTAGAGTTTCCATAAGAGAGGCTGCTCGAATTCGAAACCTAACATCCCTCCATCAGGATGAAGATTATGTTCCTCAAGGTCCAATCTACAGAAATGCCAATGCCTTTCACAGGTACATTTTTACATATGCGCATATATAATTAGCTATGGTTTTCTAACTGATGTATTGCCATAAAAATTTCAGGAGCTATTTAGAGATGGAGAAGCTATTCAAGATATATGTGTATGAAGAAGGTGAAACTCCATTGTTTCATGATGGTCCATGCAAGAGTATATATTCCTCAGAAGGAACTTTCATTCATGAGTTAGAGAAGGGAAAATCTTATAGGACTAGAGATCCTGAAGAGGCTTTAGTTTATTTCCTACCATTTAGTGTGGTGATGATGGTAGAATACCTTTATGTCCCTAACTCCCATGAGATTGAAGCCATTGGACGTGTGGTTGTTGACTACATCAATGTAATTTCTAATAAATATCCCTTTTGGAATAGAAGTCTTGGTGCTGACCATTTCATGCTCTCTTGCCATGATTGGGTAAGTAATAACATTTTTTCTTTTCCTAATCCTGGTTTTGAAAATTATTGATTTTGGTGGGTAGATTTCTGTTTCCTTTATTTCATTTTAATACAATAGTTAGTCCTTATTATTTTAAAATTACATGATTACTTAATCTCTAAGATTTGGAAAAATTGAGAAAATTAGGAGTTTTGGTCCAAATTCAGTATGTAGCTTCTTATGCTTTCTAGTTCAGCAAAACATGATCATAATGAATTTATGTTTTTTAAATGATATTTATGCTTTAATTTAAGAAAAAAAACCTTAAATTTCCCTAAAATTGATGAAAATTAGGTATGTTATTGCAAAATTGTATAGTCAATTAATGTAACTTTGGCTATGTACAGGGGCCACGTACATCTTCTTATGTTTCTCAATTATTCAAAAATTCAATTAGGGTTTTATGCAACGCAAATACTTCTGAAGGATTCAATCCATCGAAAGATGCATCATTTCCAGAAATACATCTAAAAACAGGAGAAATTACAGGACTTATCGGCGGCAGCTCCCCTTCTAGGCGATCGATTCTCGCCTTTTTTGCTGGCCGACTACATGGAGACATTAGGCGGCTACTACTAGAGAAATGGAAGAACAAAGACAAAGATGTACAAGTTTTTGAGCAATTACCTAAGAATGTGTCATATGAATCAATGTTAAAAAAGAGTAGGTTCTGCTTATGCCCTAGTGGGTATGAAGTGGCAAGCCCAAGAGTAGTAGAAGCTATATATTCAGAATGTGTTCCTGTTTTGATTTCAGACAGTTATGTCCCACCTTTTAGTGATGTCCTAAATTGGAAGGCATTTTCTGTGCAAGTGGAAGTAAAAGACATACCCAAAATTAAGGAGATTCTGATGGGTATATCTCAAAGGCAGTACTTGAGAATGCAAAGGAGAGTGAAGCAAGTCCAAAGACATTTTGTGGTTAATGGACCTCCTAAGAGGTTTGATGTGTTTCATATGACTATTCACTCTATTTGGCTTAGGAGATTGAATATTCATATTCAAGATTAACAATCAATTAATTAAAATTTTTGATTTTTTATTCTTTTATAACAGTCTCATATTAGGAGGAAAAAAAAAAAAAGCAATCTTTGGATTGGGAATTTTCAAATTCATATGCTTTATCTTAACTATAGAGTGGATGAGCACACCAAAATATAGTCTAGTGATAAGTACATAAATAATCTAACAATATAGATTCAGGTTTGATTCTCCTTTCCTAATATTAAAAATAAATAAATATATATATCTACCACAATTTACTAATCACGAATGAAAAAGAAAATGTTTCTATAAACTTATATTTAGTGTATATCTATATAAGTATATGTTCTAGGACCAATCAGTTAACAGCCGACCGCTCTACCACTCAGCTACTGAGGAACAACGGGAGATTCGATCTCATAGAGTTCAATTCCCGTTCTCAACCCATGACCAATATGAGCTTGAAGTTTCCTTCGTAACTCCCGGAACTTCTTCGTAGTATCTTCGTTCCATGCCTCATTTCATAGGGAACGTGCGTTTGCGTAGGTACCTCTATTCGTTCCATGCCTCATTCATAGGGAACCTCTTCGTAACTCCCGGAACTTCTTCGTAGTATCTTCGTTCCATGCCTCATTTCATAGGGAACCTCAAAGTGGCTCTATTTCATTATATTCCATCCATATCCCAATTCCATTTATTTAATATCCCCTTTTGGGATATTCCATTCATCTAATACGGGATAACCCGATATTATCATCTACAGATGAGACTTTGAATAAAATTTAGTTGTATTGAATGAATGGTTTTGATTTTAAAGCATGCTGAATTTTTTTTCCCCTTTTCTAATTATTCATTAACCTATTTCTTTTATATTTAGATATGGTTTTCAAAGTTGGAAGTACCTTAATATCATCATTACTACCAATGGTTTAGCATGAATGAAAACGTCTAATTCAACTTTTTCTTATTTGCAAAATAAATTCTACCATCTCTAGAGTTTGGATTTTTAAGGAATTATTAGATGCACGTTAAAGGGTATTTTCCCTCATTCTGTGGGATGCTTTGCTTGTTATAGCACGTACTTATAGAATATTTTCCCCTTTTTTTTTCTTACCATTAATTCACAATTCCACATTATGAAAATGAGTTCATTATCAGAAAATGTAAGATTCTTACTATGTTTTTTCATACAGTTTGTAATTTTATAGCTAAAAAAATAAAAAGAGACTTTGTTTTTTCATATAGCAATTTATGATTTGGTAGGGAAAGTAAAACAGAACTACGAGATGCGGGAGATCGAAAACTGTACCTCCTGCATGCAAAGCAAGAAATCTACCATTTGAGCTGCATCACCTTTCAACTTTAGATGAACGTTAATAAATATCATTTGAAAGACATACAAAATACTTATTTCTGACCTAAAATAATAAAAAAAAATAAAAAACTAAAAAATTATAAATCGAAAACATGTTATTTTGAAAATTCAAAAATTTAACTCAGCATTTATCCCTTTTTTTTTTTAATCTTTTTAACCTTATTTTTTAAACAGTAGAATAATTTGTGATTTTCATCCTGCATGTTCATTCATCGATGTTGCCTAATATTATACTTGTTGTAGCTGTAATTTATAGCTATGGACAACTTTTTATTTGTACATAGAATAGTTTAAAAAAAAATTTCTTTAAGAAAAGATGACTTAATTGCCTCCCCATGCTTGATCTATGGATGTGCTATTTAGGCTGTGTTGGACAAAAACGCAGAATCAAAATACTATATGTTATTTTTTACAGTGTTTGAATTATCTTTTAAAAATTAATGTAATATTTTATAGAAAGTTAATGTATTTTATAGAAAGTTAACTCAGATAATATATAGCTTTTAGCATTTTATAAAAAATTATTCAAGCAGTTAACAACTAAATACTGTTAAAAAAGATAATAACTAATTTTACGGAAGAGATTTCTAATTTGCCTTCAGATTTTAAGGAAAGATTTTGTTTTTTTTAATGTCAATTAGACCTGGAAAGAGGTTCATGATCTATTGATGAGCTATCACTGACGTAGGTAGGGGGCTATCACTGACGTTGGGAGGGGGCCATGCCCCCCTTGATTTTTTAAATAAAGGTTTCTAATAGAAAAAGTAATATACTTTAGAAAACAATAGTGATAAATAAAATAATGTCACGTGAAATGTTGCGATATAAATATAATAATTTAAATAACTGAAATAGGATCAAAGAATTTTTATATGATATATAAATAATATATATATATTATAATATATATTATATATATATGAATACAAATATGTTATACATATTAAATCAACTAAATATCAATTTATGATTGATTTTTCATTATATGTGGAAAGTGAGATCTTAATTTCAAAGACTTCTCAATTAATAAGAATTATGCATTCAATTTGATGAGTTATATAAAGACTGTTCTTATTAGTTTTAGCCCACAATCACGCTATGACGAGATAAGAATAAAATTAGATCTAATTAGCATAATTGTTGTTTGATAAGTATTAATATATGAGACTTTAATATTGTTTTAAAATTAGTCAAAATAATATGATAAAATGCGATCTCAATTTATATTAATAAATGATTTTTTCCTCTCAAACAAACTCAAAATTATTGAACATACCCAATCATATAAAAAGTATATTAATTCGATGAGAAATTCACCCTTTTGTATTTTATGGTGTAAAAAAGAAAGTAAGGTGATAGGAACCCAATAGCAAATGTAAAAATACGATAAAAGATATATTAAAGAGTAAAATCAATATTAATATGATTCAAAATTAATTATATGAATCAAAATATGTATACATATTAATCAACTAAATATCATTTGATTGATTTTTTCATTTATATGGGAAATGTGAGATCTTAATTTCAAGACTTCTCAATTATAAGAATTTTCATCAATTTGATGAGTATATAAAAGACTGCTCTTATTGTTTAGCCCACAACACGCTATGGGATAGAATGCAAATTATGTCTAATAGATAATTTGTTGTTTAATAAGTTATTTATGAGACTTTTTTTTGTTTAAAATTGTCAAAATATTATGAAAAATGGATCTCAATTTATATAAATAATATTTTTTCCTCTCAAACAAACTCAAAATTTATTGAACAACAATTCAATATAAAAAGTTATTTAATTCGATGAGAAATCACCCTTTTGATTTTATGGTTAAAAAAGAAAGTAAGTGATAGAAACCAATAGCAATGTAAATATACGATAAAAATATATTAAAAAGTAATATCAAATAATATGATCAAATTAATGAAATATAAAAAATATGTTGAAAAGTCTTGAAATTAAGATCTCCTATTTTCAATATAAGTGAAAAAATCAATCAAATGATATTTAGTTGATTAATATATATATATATATATATTGTCTCATATTAACTTCGATGCTATTTTTGTTATTTAAATTGTTATATTTATATCATAATATCTGATGTGATATTATTTTATTTATCACCATTTTTTTAAAAAAGTATATTACTTCTTTTTATATATTATGCACATCATTATTCTAACTATTGACAAAGAAAGGGGGATGAGGATGGCCATGGCCATTTGTTTTAAAAATTATTTTTTAGTATTTTTAAATTATACCTTTAATGTATTTTTTTTTTCGATTTTAATTCCTTTAAAATTTTCAATTTTGATCCTTTCATACTTTTTATCTTAAACAAGTATAATCTTATTTCATTTTATATGATTTATATTTTCTTTCTTACATTTTAAATTTTAAGTTTAATATATCGAGAGAGATGAACATTTGTCATTTCATCATTTAATTATTTTAAATTTACATTATATATAAAATTATATAATATCCCAACAAAATAAGGGTCCTATATTACATTCTCTAAATAGGTAAATAAATAAATAAACTTATATTAACAATCTGGATTTTAATTCCGCTTGTGTCGTGTTTATCGTGAGGCGAATGTTTACGCTAATTGACTCTTTAAATTTACTTCTTCTCAACCTTTAGGTCATGATTTGTTATATTCTCGGTCTGATCTATTGCCATGGTTAGCCCATGATGTATCCAGTATTTGTTATTTTCCGAGCTAATTTTATCTAGCTCTTCTATTTGTCAAAAAAAAAAAAAAAAAAATTATTGAAGGCCTAAAGCGGGTTGACTTGGAGTCGATGTATTAAGTCAATAAAAATTATTGTTATTACGAGCATGTTCGGCAACAACATTTTAAAAAGCATTACATTAGATTATTCGATAACTTAATATTTTAATATTTGTAAAAGTTGTTAGAGGTTAGAGAGCGTTTCGTCAAATGTTAAATCTCTTATATTTAGTGTTTTAAATTTTATTTTTTGACACTCTGATCCATTTATTTTGTTTTTCCCTATTCTTAAGATTTACGATTCTACTTCCAATGACATTCTTTTGAATTTGGTAATCTTTGTTATTTATTTAATTTTTCTTTCTCAAATCTGAAAGGAATATATATCATTTTAATTATTTAATTATTTTATTTCTATTGTCTTAAAATAAGGATAACAGCATGTTGTCAAAATTAAATAACATTAAAACAATTCCCGTCTTTTCATTTCAATTTTATAAGAAATAATCTTTTGTTATAGAAAAAAATTGAAATGAAAAAAAAATGATAATAATTTTGGAAAAAAAAAACACTTGTTTTATATATATATCTCTTTTTTTTATCAATTATTCCATTTCAGTTTTATGGCCATAATTTAAAATTTTAAGTCAATATTCTAATATCTTTTTTTGTCATTTTAATTTTAACACTTAATCAAACATTTAATTTTACCGAACACTTTTGCTTTAAACCACAACATAAACACATAACAGCTAACAACTAATATCTAATAGCTAAAAACTACTAGGACAGTTAACAATTACTAAAACAACTACTGTTGCCGAATAGACCCTATATCTTTGTATGAACAATGCATATAGAAATTTATGTCTTTCCACGTTTTCAACACTTCTAATTTATAATTTTTTTTTCTTTTGAAATAACTTGTAGTTTATAAATTCAATTTAG